CTCCGTAATGTGATGCTGATTAATAAAGTGTATAAAAGTACAGTTATTGGCGCAAATAGCCTGAGTTGCTGAAAGCGCCATTAAAACAAAACAACAACATCTTCAATTTGAATTACCTGTCATCTGCCCGTCAAACTGCAGCCTATAGACTCCCGAGATGTTGCACGCTGAGCTGCTGTCATTGCTAGAAGCAACGGTTGTTGGGCATGAAGGCAGCTCAACGTAGACCTTTTGAGTCTCATACGAACCCCCAACTACAGTCAGAGTCTGCAGAGGAAAAATTTACCAACAAATAATAAAACAAATGAATAATGATTAACGGTTCTTGGTCAATCAGCACCAATTTTCGTCCTCTTTTACATAGAGAAGAGATATATTAGAGTTGCACAAATATGTTGTGGGAGTAACCAAGCTTACAGTGGTTATCTCTGTCCTCATTTGCATGTTCGGAAATTATGCATAATTGAAAATTAAAAGCAAGCTCAACTGCGGTTAAGCCCAGCATTCACATTTGATCCTGATGGTTATTCATATCTATGAATAATTTACAAAGCTCAATAGAGTGGGGACCAAAGGGTGTCCAAATCCTTAAACGATGGTTAAATCTGAAATGTCTCCATAGGAGTTAGATCATGGAAAGGTCCCAGCTGATGGTAAGTGTATTTAATCATCAATGAGCCCCTTCTTTGCAAGCTTCAATACCTGCAGCTCCTTGTGGACAGTGGATGTGGTGGCGATTTCCTGGAGCTCATTGGTCGCAGTCGATGTGTTGAAGGTATTGAGGGGCACGTCAAAGAAGGCCACGCCCACCTGGACAAAGTCACTGCCACCATACTCGCGATGTCGGGCCTCCATGTAATAGCTGTACAGTTGGCACAAGTCACGGAATATCAAAATACAGCATACCTTCTCCACATTATATGCTGTGACAATTTCATCCTTAAGCTGTCTTAATTCAATTTGTCTGAACACATCTGGCCAACCTCTTTATCGTGGCCTTGATATCTACATCCACTCCATGAAAAGTGACCCCCCCTCCCCCTGCTCCAACCAACGTCAATCAAAGGGCAATGAAGGGTTGGAGCAAAACTCCAATACAATTGTTTCTTTTCAGTTAAAATTTGTTATCATACCAATGTGAAATTTCATTTGATTTCATTTGATGATAAAGATACAAGGGTAAATGCATCTGAAATGTAAAGACAGCTTAATTTCATCTGTAAGCTGTCTTAATTCATTGTGTCTGAACACATCCAACTAATCAAAGCTTCATATTCACCTTTGACCTCCAATGAGAGTGAGTTTCTCAGAGGACTGGGAGTCTACAGAGTGCCAGTTCTGCTGGTGACTTGATATGTAGGCAATTTTAGTCTATGAAGAGTAAAACAAACCAAAATCTACTCATTAAGTTGTCTGCAGTGATAGGACTTAAAACATTTCCAGCACATAAGGTTACCAAGCACAAATGCTTGACAGATGTCTAAATTAGTTTTCAAAAACAATGATGAAAAACAATAATGAAAAAAAGTCAGGCAACCATGATATGATATTTAAAATAGCATAATATTTTTAGCTAATTGGTTCGCAAAATTTTCACAACCTAAACAAAGGTGTAGTTGTTGATTTGTCAATGATCCTCATTCAGACATGAATGCTCCCTTGAATGAAAACTTAATTGAAATTGACCCTCACTCCCCAATGCCCAAAAGGCAGTGACTGCATACCAAATTGTCTGCAGATGCAGTTGAACTTAACCACAGGTCTACAAGGTCGTCTCCTCGAACAAAGAACCGGTATTCCCCAGTGCGAGGTGGTACAAAGAAGCCTGTGAGGCGTGAGACAAAATTTTCTTCCTCGCCGAAGACGTGCTCGGGGGTTGAACTGGCCTCCAAGACAACGGTGGAGTTATAGTCTGCCGCACTGGTATTCCAGTCTGCATCGTCCAAACTGCGAGCAATACATGTTAATAAAGAAAAAGAAAATGTACATGGAATGAAGTGAAACTGAATGAAAGTTGAAAACAGAGTGAATGCTTTGTTTCAGCTTGTGACTGGTAAATTAATTTGAAAATCATTCAGAAACAGCTGCATACAGACATACACTACATATCCAATTGTCCACTGATAAATTTTTGGGGTCAAATTTGCTCCATTAGTTAGCGAGCACTGTAAATCAGAGTGAGCTCCCTCTGACAACCTCTTTCCCTGATGAATTCCAGGTGTAGCTAATAAATATTTACCTGCATAAAAATGAGCTTATCATTCTAAGCCTAAGTATACTTGAGAAACTAGAAAATCTGACTACAGAGAAATAAGAATCCTCATACATGAGCCAACCAATGACATTACAGAGCTGTGAGGTATACTGGGCCCAAATCTATGAGGTCAGGTGTTTGGCAAGCATGAACTTACTTGACACTTGTGTCCCTCCAGACTTCATATTCCAAGCCCCTCCCACCGGGGTAGATGCTCTGCTCTGGAGGGGCTGGTCCGGTCACGCACAGGATCTCTGTGGTGCTGATATTAAAAATCTCACAAGGAACGCCTGGTGAGGCAAAATCACCAAAATTCCATTCAAAATAATGAAAAACCTTAGCATATTTTTTCCAAACCATTTTTAATGACTCAAGTAACAAAAGTTATATAATATACATAAAGTATATTATATACATATCAAGAACAGACTAGTGACAGTCGCTAAATATTTAGTTATGTTACAATCTGTAGTATATGCTCCTTCCTGAACTGGCGGTTAAAATTCAAATATGTTGCATAAACTAAAACTCTATTGTGACAAAAAAACAATGTGTCTCTATTCACCTATGACTGTAATTTAAAAGCACGGATCTCAAAGACCTTTGAGCAATTAATTGAACCACTGTAAATGCAGGAACCCTCACCCTAACAAACTTCGTGAATGTGCCAAAATTGGAAACCAATTCCGTATAGTTGTAGTATCCCATTGACAATTCTTTTGGCAAAAGCAAATGAAATTCAGGGTATTGAGGGTAAATATAACCTTCTACCCACTAAAATGGAGGTTTTTATACAAGACACACAACATTCTCATAATTGTAAATTGGAGACTGGATATGCCGTATATCTAACTCTCCTGACTGAAATGTGCTGCAGATTAATTTAAAGGTACAGTCCTTCTTTAGCTGTCAGACAAGTAACTGATGAAATTATGGTTGAAATTATACTCAGCTTAAAGATCGTTATGGGACTAAAACTCTCTGTGAAATTAATCTTCCTGGCGAGCTGTCATTCTAAAGAAAACAACTATGAAAGTAGGCTTTTTTCCAACAATGGGTCTAAAGACGCATTTTGGGAAAATTATCATTTGCAGTTTTTTTAAGTTTGTTAAAGCGTCAAAGCACGAGCATTGACAATGCACATGCACATACAGTTATTACAATTTGTTAATTCATTGCCTTCACGTAGCTACAGTTGGTTGAATGAGAATGTATTTGGGACACTGAATTCATACGCAAGTTATAATGTACAACAGGACTCAGTAACTATCAGTTTGAAATCAAGAGCCTAGAACTTTTGGAATATACAGTATAGCTGAGCTATGAGTGACTTCATCAGGTTAGTTGGTAGGCACTTTCTTTACCTTTGAGCACTGACTCTTGCTACCTCAGTTAAACGAGCATAATGCACATATGCACAAAAGATGGCCTATACCTTGATGTGATTACAGGTCAAGGTTCTTTACACTTCGATCAAGTAACGACACAAAAGCGCACTGGAGAGTGAAAGGCTTTTCAGCCCCCTGCAGCTCAATAATACAATCCCACTAATGACTAATTACTCTTTGGCAAAGACTGTGATCAGGTCATTATAGCCAGGCCTAGCACACCGGCACAACAGGGCAGGGCACTTTCATTGTCCTGTTGGTAATAACAGAATGACTATCATAAACACAGATAAACCAAGTTGGTATCCTAGCAACAGACTGTGTTGCACACAGGTGGCCCATCATAAAGAAAATTTTTACGACCTTCGTATTTACGATGCTTGCCGAGGGTTAAACCAATATCAATTTATTTAGTCATATTTAGTCTGGCATTCTTTTGTATGTTGAATCATGGTGTACTATGTGTTAAATAAATAGGAAAAGCCCAGAAATAATGACCTCAGAGATTCAATTTCAAAATAGAACCATAACTCCAGTTAATAGTTGAAATATGTTCATATTTTCATATATATTACATATTCATAAGACATGATTGACCTATTACACTTCTGTAACCTTAAAGAATAACAAGTGAAAAACATGAAAATGTGAGTCAAAATCCCTTTAAAAAAGATGCACCAACCATATCCTTCCCATTTTAGCCATTTTGTGGCAAAACAGTTTTCAAGTCTAGTTTCAGATCTATTATCTACATAGAAACCTGTCAACACGAATGGACAGAGAGACCCCCAGGTGAATCATTTTAGAACTAGGCCTACATGTACTTTAGGTTTTGAATTTTGGGGAGCATTTTTGATGAAAGTTGTCGATAATCCATGAATTCCTCATCAGTTCAACCAAATGAGTGTACCACTAACTGTGCAAAGTGGATTGTTTTGGATAAAATCCCCGTGTGCATGCATTGCTCGCTAGCATGTGCTCCAGGGATTTGAGAATTTTTTTTCAATTTAGGTTTAATGCCTTCAACTGGGGGAATCTTCTAAAGATGCTGGAATTTCTCTCCATACGAGTAGCCAGTTTTATGAATAGGAATTCCTAGTCTCATAAATTAATTGCACCTTTTGTGGTTTCTACGCTTGAAACAATCCTCACCTTGAACAAACACAATGGTGTTCCGCTCGTCAAAGTACTGTCCATGGATAGTCAGTACAGTGCCACCTTGGGTGCTGCCGAGTGTTGGGCTGACGTCCAGCACATCTGAAGATAGGTTGGAAAAGTGATTATTTGACAATTCAAAACACACAAACATCAGCTCTGTGATTATTTATATTAATATCGATGGGTGTATTTTAGGAATAGACGATGAGTTCCACAAGAATTACTGCAAAAACAAGAATGGCTATGCCCTGTTTTTGAAAACAGAACAAATGAAAAGCACTTTCATCAAGTATTAGAGAGTAAACAGCACTTTTTAAAAAACTTTGAACTTTCAGAAAAAATGCTTATCTTTTATTATTAAACAGTGAAACTAAGGACTACGCGATTTGATTAGAGCAAAAATTTACTCTTAAAGATAACTCAACAGAAAAAGAACCACTCTGCATAGAAACTTGAATTTCGACATGAATTCATCATATCCCTGGTTTCAGTTGGAGGGTAGGGCATCTTCACTCAAATAGGGTGACTTTTTGACTTCTTGGAATTTAGAATTAAAATCAATTAACATCCAATATTGAGGCCAAAAGTAAGGGCTTGCATCTTCTTTTTCCCTCATTGTAGCAGCTACAGCACTGGACTTTTCTAAGCAGTTTAATAAGTGAATCTATAGTATAGGGATGTACATACAGCCCAGGGTACAATATATTTCATTGAAAAGAATACATTTACATCACATTTACAGCCCAATACAAAAAATAAATGGCCCATTACGAAGTAAAATTTTCAAAAGTAATGCAATCATTTGGCAACCCCACAAAAGGTTTTTCTCCGAAACAAGGGCACCTGGTGGCACAATTTTTGCACAAGACAACACATATTAACTGGTAAATCTTTAAGATCTATCCATGAATCATACTATCATGTTGTAGAAATCTTCAATTTCATGTGTTGCTGAAAAAAAATCAATAAAAAAAAAAGAAGTCATGAAAAACTGAGATTGAAAATGCCCTGTCTTTTGCAGCACCTCTGGTTATTTCGTACCTGTGCTATCCTACTTTAAGGTCCTACGAGAAATTCTAGTTCTTTCTATAGCCCAAATGCTAGTTCTTTCTATAGCCAACTCCTGCAAAGAAAGCAAGCCAATCAATTCACATAAAACCTGCTGGACTGAAACTGTGTCTGAATAGAGCACATTACACCCGTGCCGACAAAGACATGACTTCAGAATGGTGATTTCACCCTTCGCGTAGCACAGTAAACACAGCTTGACAAACCTAACCTGTAAACTTCGGTTCCTTTTATCATCGAATGGACACAATGAATAAACTGAAAATTAATTCAGGAGGCAGAAAGGACGGCTTTTAACGAGACACGAAAAAACATCTTTGCGTACTTTGTTGAGTATGTTTGTCCTTGCCTTTTATTTGGTTGCCCGGCAGCGGTTCCAATGATCATGAAGTCGAAGGCATATTTGACATCAAAGACCTGGTTTTGCTGTACTGTATGATTATATACAGGGATTCACGCGGAGGTCTCTAATGGTAGTTTTGTTAGACCTGTGAATTTCAGGCGATGTTACGATCCATTGTGATAATCCACTATGATTTTATTGCCTTTCGATGGGTGCTAGCAGGCGCAGCCGTTTCATCATGAAAGATGTCGACAAACAAAATAAATAAAGTTTGTAAACAGAAAGATCAACAAGGCGAAAGTCCCTTTTAATTCGTTTGGTTTTGGTGGTTTTGCAAATATGCATATATTTTCCACGTTGCCAATATTTGCCTCACAGGCCAATCTCAAGGCTTGACTTCTTTGGTTTGCTTGTCTCGACTTTATGTGGTTAACATCGTGAAGTCTCGTGGTCATTTTTACTTCGTCTGGGTGACCCTAACAAATACCGGGTGACATAACTAAAAGACAAAGTCCGGCATAAGTGAGGCATTTATTCGAACAAACACCTGCAGCATTCCCCCCTCTTAACTTGGAGTTTGTTGTGCAACAAACTAGCCTGAAACTTAAGCACTCCCCCAAAATGGTCTGACTGCTAAGCGACTTAATTCCCAAAGTTGAGAACAGGGGTGATCGATGCAACAAAGATAAACGGCAAAATCAACTTCCATTCTCCAAGGAGAGCGGTCAGACTGGATTGTCATCAGAGTTAAGACACCTCTCGCAAAATTGATTGGTTCACAACAATGATCCGGTAAACAGAGAATGAATATAACGGTCCTTTCCACGCGGATCCATTCAACAGGTGGGGGACGCACCACGTTATCTCGGGCTTAACAGACTGCCAACACCTCGGACGGTTATCTGTGGGATGGCGTGATGTTGCCATGGCGCTAAGAAACTGTCTGACAGGCTGCCAGGTGGATATTTAATGAAAAGTTGGAGATTCGAGCGAGTGCGGTGCAACGCAAGATTTCCTTAATTTGTTTCTCCTGATATTCTCGAGCACATTAATGTTAAGACCCGGGGTAAACACTGATAAGGCAAAGATAATTTCATTTGCAGAGAGCAGTAATTTAGACCGATTACCTACACCAACAAGGCAACGATTAACGCAACAAAGTATTTAAACAACCCTATTCAACATACCGACCCTAACCAACATACACTTTTAAGTCATAGATTCAAATTACACCATGTAAATTACAACAATAGTAAACCACAGCATGAACAAACATGTCCAAAAAAAATGTAAGTTAAATGCCACTCATGCCTCACACTTTAGTAGTTTTGAAGGCAGATACACAAGTTGGCATGATCAAGAAATGTGCTGGAACTGAAGTCGGATTTCCTGGATTGGATTGTCGTAGGCCTAGGTTATACGTCATAATGATGCTGCCCAAAATTGAACTCATGTGATTTTTTTTAAAGTTCGGTACGCATTAGCCAATTGAGCTCGTTGAATTTCACTCCCACAGCCAACCCTTGAGCTAAACGGGGCATGCTACGCTACCTGTGATGTTAACGACAGCGCTACAGCTGCGCTGTGTATTGCTACACTCATTTAAATAAAAGTACTAGGTCGGCATACATGTTTATAACCTCAAAATTAGTTATTCACTGCATTCCGCAGGTCTACAAACACGTGCTTGATAAAGCAATGGTCATTGATGTGATATTATCGATGGCAATAAAGCGGGAGCGGAGACAGGAGTTGTTGCAAGCTTCCAACCAGTTACTGAGAGTTTATTCACCACTGTATACATGCGCTCATAAGATATTTCCGATCACAACAGTCATGATACATGTACTACACAGGGACATGGGCCAGACATCACTGGACAGTCGTCGACAGTGCACCAGATTTCATCGATTCGACCATTTCCTTTACAATGCATGGAACTGGAAGAGAAACTTTACTGGGGCATTTTTCTTTCCCGTGCCTTTCTTTTAACGCCCTCCCCACCTCCCTCCCTATAATTGTGACAGTACTGCAGCCAAGAATACTAACCGGCATGTGCTTGGTAGAGGTAGAGTTGGTTCCTGCCGCTGACTTTGAGGATACTTTTGTCGGAGGCGCTGCGGCCGTACTCGTCAGAAACGAGATAGGAGAGAGATTGGGAAGCTGAAAGGAAAAAAGCACCAACAACCTGTCAGCATGGGTATTGTGACTTATTCATAAAGCCTAGTTATATTTAACGCGTAAACAGTCAACTTTGTATTCCATTTTACGTCAGACGTACGTCTTTAAGTCAAAACAGACAAGTTTTCAAAGCCAAAAACCTAATATCGCTTTGCTTTTGCCAATATTTCATTCTTATTTGCTAAAACCTTTTTAAAACTGTACGGTTCAAGTGAACCTATCTATAAAAATTGATCTGTTTGCTTGTTTTGCCTTAATACAGTTAACAGCAAGGCTTAGTATTTACAAAAGTAAAAGTGCTTATTGTGGGCACGCACACAATTTCTTACTTAAAAAATGATAACAATGCCTAGCAGTAGCATTACATATACATCAACCCATGCGGCAGCTAGCCCGAGATCAATGCAATTCGTCTCACGGGTACCTGTGCATACGAACACTATGGGGTTAAAGTATTGCTACAAGCTAAAGTGTCTTGCCCCAGAACACAAGCCCCGTCATCTCGATCGGGGTGGCAACACTCCCATGAGTCCACATTATGTCTCGTACAAAGGACAACAAAAAATAGTGTGCAGTCCATGCACAGCAAATCCTGGCTTATTCAATTACGCGCAAAGGGTAAACAGTTCCAGTTAAGGCAGAAATGGCGTATATACTACGTAGAATGTTCATGGAGTGCGTTGTTGTCCTATTCAATACAATATATTTAAACTGTAGTTACCATGGAAAACATTTACAAAGCATGTATCACAGCCTCCATGTGGGCAACGGTCCACATAAATTAAGGGCCACAATCGTTTCAATTTGAAACTTGGAAGTATTTCAGTTATTGTTGCGCATGAATGTTTGGAACTTTGTTTTGATATCAAGCGCAGTTTACACAGTGGGACAGGCTTAAAAACCAAGCAGAGGTGCATCTGTTTACATTTCTGTGGCTAAGGTGACACCATGACAGCGAGTTTGTTTGGAATTCATCGATTCCAGTCCAAATGAACCGGGTTGAATGCATCAAAGCCATTGCAATGTAATGATCCATGTAAATAATCCATGCATGAGTCTTTACTGCAATGGTCACAATGACCGTGTAAACTACCTCTTCTAAAGAGCGAAATCAAAGTTTACGGAGAAATATAGCGTTTTAAATAGTTTGGAATTTATCTGTTCTAAAATGATGATTCAACTTTGAGATGTTCCCTCCGACAGAGTGAACTTTAAATTATTGTAAATAGAAATCAATAAGTGGATAAGGTAGCCTAAATCAGTCATTACTTTGAAAATATCTTAAACTCACCGTGCGTCTCACAGTGGAAGCGCAAGTTGCACCATAAAATAACTTTCCGGAAAAGAAAGCGGTTCATTGTGAACACAAAATACCAGCAGAAGTTATCACTGATATGAAAAGACACGATTTTCTGGGGTTTTTCCAGCGTCTACTCAAAGACTGAGATTTTCACATTTAAAAAAGAAGAAGGCCCATTTTCCATTTGAAGAATTTCGTTCTTACCAATATATGTTCCCACTGGTACACACTCAATAACTCCGTACTGTGAATCAGCACTATCCAAAGCGATGTTATAGCTAAAAAGAGATTAAAAAAAAAAGACTGAGTCAACGTCATTAAAACATGCACCTGCTTGAACAGGCAGACGATGTTTCTGTTTGATAAACAAAATTCCAAGAAATAAGAAACGAAAAATACTGGAACCATTTTTTGCAAATAAATCTATGAAAAATGTTGGAAATCACAAATCACACAGCAATCCAGCTCTCAAATACCTTGAAAGTTACACAGGTAAGCGTATACTTACAAATCTTCTGTTTCTGGATCAACAGGATCACAGAAGTAATTTCCCCAGTAAACCCTTTCAATGAAATGGAAAAAAGGATAGTCGTTTGTAAGGCAATCACCTGTAAACACTTTTTACCGGTTCAGAGTAAAATGAAACCTTTATGGTATGCATTCTGTCAGAAATGAAAGCCATGCAAAAATGCCGCACGCATTTTCTGAACTCATAAAAATTGTTTACTTTAAAACAGTCCAAGAGCTGCAATGCAGGTGGCAAAGGAAGTATCAGTAAGTTAGTCCATTGTTGCCTGACGGGGTCCGTTCTGATCCATTCATTTTTAGGGCCAACCATTCAGAGATTCATTGAAATTTGCATAAACAGTTTAGTCATACCAAGAGTTTGTGTGTATTTCAGCATACAGGTAACTGGACTCGGCAAACTTTTGTGTTTGATTAGGAAGAAATAGTTCAACATTATATTCTGACAAACTTAACCCCTAGCAGTCAATAACGGGTCCTTTAGTCATCACATGGTATTTCCTGTCTTGAAATTCAGGATCAAAGCCTTCTGGACAACCTTTTCAAAGATCGATTATTAAAAAATAGATTTAAATATAAAAACATCTGATTTAAATCACGAAATCTGATCATGATTTTTATTAACCCGGGTGATGATCCTGGTAGTTTTAAAGGCTGTCTAATCAATGTTGTGGTCTCTACCGATTGCCAAACAGTCCGTCAATTTTCCGGAAAGAATGATGTGGACAGAGCCAATAATGAACATTTGTATATCACTTTTTCCCTTGTTTTACCTTAGAATTTGGGGTTTGCCTTCATAATTGTCATCTTCATCCTCCAAGGCTTTTGAAGGGTCGTAGATGTCCGTGATGATTTTGCCACGAATGGTAAGCTTTGTACCTGTCAGGAATCAACAGGTGGACAATTGTAACTTCACTCAAACCATTTGGAACAAAAAATGGAAGCGAAAGAAACGCTGATTTGGAGTTGACTTCATGCGCCTAAGAGACAAACCGGTTAAAAAGTTCAACAATTCAAAAAGTTCAACAGTTTGAATTTAATACTCATTCTTAAAGGGTACAGAAAGGAAATCAAATAAAAAGATTCGTTTAATTGACCTTTATGCCAGAGGCAAGTTACAGCTTGCCAACGAGAGCATATACACAACAAGTGATGCGCCGTGGTAAAAGCCAAGATTAAAAGTGCCACTTTTTGAATAAAACGTCCGCAAAACCAAAACATATATATCCAGAGTATTAAACGAAATGATTAGATGTTTAAGTATTAACGAGGTATCATGAATAAATTATTAAGCTGGATATTAATGAGTATCAGTCATTGTGTGGCATTTGCACCGGTAAATTAAAAGTATTTTTTTTTGTTACCTGGGAGTCCACTCATAGGAGTGACAGATGAAATAGTTGGAGTGTTGGCTTCACGGTACTAAAGTGGTTAGAGAGAATTAAAAAAAACCGCGTTAACACGTATCTTTCATGTCTTTTTCATAAGGCAAAACACGGCACAAACGCGGCGATAACATTCACAATCAAATGAGATGTCATCAGCTGGAAATGTACCGGTAAATTTGTACCGGTACATGCCATGGTAACAAAATGTAATTCTGACGACAGCAATCGACGAGACCCTTTTTTCAAAGGATACGCGAAGTTCAACGACACGTCCAATGCCACCCGTTGCTTACTCAATATAGCGTTAAAAAACGTAGACGCCGACCAGCTCGAGGTTATTGGTCAAAGGGACCAATCGGGTGGAACACAGTAATGGAGACACATGGCTGATGAGCGCCAAAGTCTCATCGTGTTTACAGCAGTAACCATGGCGTCCGTGAAATGATCACCTGTACGGGTTTTTTAATATTTTATAAAAACAAAAGAACCCTGGGGAGTTCACAGGCGGTTTAAGGTTTTGCGGGAGTTCGACAGCCTAGAGGATTTTGCACGAGACTCCCGCACAGTGGCGTATGGGGGAGATGGTGCCCCCGGGGACATATTGCTCTAAAGCACTACCAAAGGAGGGGAGGGGGTCTTTTTTACGGATGAAGAAAATAAATGGAAAGTTGTTTCACCAAAAAAAAATCCTGTTATGCTCCCTTCCTCTGGATACGGTTATTCTACTTTCCAATTCTCTTGTTTAACTACCTTTGCCTTAAAAAAAATCTCAAGTGGATAAAAAATACATACAAATAACACTGGTACCTTAGGTGTTCATATCTATTCGCTTTTCCATCACTTTTGTCTTACATTTTTTGTAGGGTAGGAAATAAAACGCAAAATTTCCGTATCTATATTTATGCAAATTTGGTAACATCGTTATGTTCATCTTGTGGTTCCATATTGGAAAGATGGCTTCGCGTATTAATTGCAGGGTTTTAAATGCAGTAATTGAACGCTTCGTGCACAGGGCCAAGGAGGCGAGGAGCGAGTGTAACGTACACCACATGTATATTTGGCCGGACGAGGAAGAGGTTGAGTTCTATGTATGAGTACAAACTTCAAGTAACATAATCATGTGCGTAGCCTCAGATTGCCAACGGGTATGTGTTCAGAATCGAAACCGAAGGCACCACATAATTCCTATTTTAACCCGAAAATACAGATTTTCCCAGCCAATTTCGGAAAACGTGTAAATAAATTAGTAATAGCAGCATTCGTTTTCAAGCGAAATAGAACGAAAATTCAAATCCTCGTTTCTAGTTCATAAATAAAAACTCTATTTCAAGGAGGCTGCATTCAGCGTTCAATTTCCCGATAGTACACTGGTCTCGTATATCGAGATTCATTTGAATGCACCTCCGCAATCTTGCATTTGTCGTAATTTGAACTCAACCTACATGTACATTGTATTCGCCGCAAAATACGCAGGCGATTATGCGCGAAGTGTTACTTAACGTATGCTTGGTCAAGAAGTAGAATTCGTTTGCTGACATGCTAATGGACTTACATACTTTGATGTGTTTAGTTGATTGGTTAAAATGTTTGAATAATCATGATTGAAATAAATCATTCATGTTGTCTTTGGAAACATACCGACTATTGTAGGAATCCTATAAACACTAGCGCTAGAGGAACCTTCCTTCTTGTGCTTCGTTTGCTTAATTTTTGTACATTTTGATAACAAACACACTTTAAAACATTCAGGAGTAAAATGTCATTATCAAAGTGGTGTCATGATCTGTGTAGCCTTGTATATTCTGATCAAATTGAACGAATTTTATTCGCTTTAAATTACAGCAAATGAAAATGAATACTCAAGTTCGAATCATCACGGTAAAAGACAGAGTTTTAGCGAAAGAGAATGCACATTTTGTTGTAATTGACAAGGAATACGTCAATCCGAAATCCCAGTCACGTATTTGTAACCCATTGAAACGTAATGCACAGTCATTTATTTCAAGAATACAAAACGAAGTCGAATGCTTGTTATTACGAACATGAAACCAGGTTTTAAGTCGTTTTCAAAATCTACGACAAATTGAATTTTTGTTTTACAAATTAGATCGCGCATTTTCCGAAATTGGACGGGAAAACCTATATTTGCGGAGAAGAAAAAAAGTTATCATTTTGCAAAATAGTATTGAGGGCCTCATCACTGCAAGAAGCATGCACAGGCCTACACTGACAGAAGGGGGGAAAATAAAAGAAATTAAAACACTTTTCGGTAAAAAGGCTTTTAAGTTCTATTTTTGATGGTAACCAACGTACGGTGAATTCACACCAGGGATCCTTGTTGCAATATCGCTCCACTGGTACCCCATCAACAATGACATAGACTGAGAAAGTTCCCTCGTCTTTCAGAGATCTGCAACGAACAGAAGTGAGTTGCCTGCATAATATTCAAATTGCCTTATCAATTAAACTTTACATACCAACTCTAAACTTAATAACTTAATACGATTTCACAAGATTAATAGTATAATAAAAATGCGTGGGCGTTTAAAGCATATTGACAATTCCAGAGAAAAATGGCCGATTGAGAACTAATTTTTAGCCGCTTAAAAACCATGAATCACTTCTTAAGCACAAATGCACAACATGGACTGACCGTGTGTCGCATACGATTTTCTCTGTATTGCTCAAGTAGGGGATGACGTCACAGGGAATCGAGAAGAACGAATTCTGCAGGAACACCAGGTTCCCCTTGTCCTCGTTGCCCTCCCCGAAGCTGAATGGATCAGGACTGAACCCTGATAAAAAAAAGGTAATCAAATGTTTCTAACCAGAGCAACGTGGCAAACGAACAGGTAGCTCAATGAACAAAAAATTAGGAAATAAACATGAGGCAAACAAAACACCCACATCGGACAAAACACGCACATCGGGCAAAACACCCACATCGGGCAAAACACACACATCGGACAAAACACGCACATCGGGCAAAACACGCACATCGGGCAAAACACACACATCGGACAAAACACGCACATCGGACAAAACACCCACATCGGACAAAACACGCACATCGGGCAAAAGCTGGGGGAAAAATGAAACTTTAAAACTCGGCAGGTTCCGAACGGAGCAAGTCAAAAACGAAATACACGTATGGTCAGAATCCAATAAATTGTTCTTCAAGGCAGTCCCATTAAACAGCTTGTGCAGGGGACTACGTGACTCAAACTCAGCATGCAAAAAACTTCCACATAAAATCCTTTTTCTTTTAAACCCGAAACAGGAACAAAATGTATATAATTGAATTCTTGAAAGTAATTACGCAATTAACTGAACTGAGACGCGTGTTCGGGTTGCATAAACTCCTTTTTTTTTATTTGGCTTTCTTTCTTCCTTCTGCTTTGTCATCGTGCAGCTAAAATAAACTTCCCAGACCAAGGAACGAGGCAGAAGAGATATCTTCTTATCCCAAATGCAAGCACGTTTACAAAAACATGTTGGTATCATCAGTGCGACAGACCACAAAAGAAGATTGATTCTCTAACCTGGCTGGGACGTGATGCTTGGTACGTCACCATGGATTGGCTGTAAACATTACGTAACAGCCACAATGAAGATAATGTCGACCAATAAGGGATTAGCTTACGGACAATGAAGGCAAGGCGTGATTGTTCCCTAAATTATTGAGGGAACCAGTCCAGATGATAATCCCACCAAGTGGCTGGCTGTTTGTCTATAAAAGTGGATCAGCGTTCATCTCCTGTCTATTACTTCCATGCACAATTGCAGTTAGTTTAATGACAAATTAGGCTTAAGGAGAAATGTTTATTTTATAGGGCGTTATTGTCTGCACTTTGGATCAACCCATGAGATTGAAAACAAAACCCGTGCTTATATCATTCGGGTTTTGTTCTTTGGAAATCACTTTTATATTAATCTGTTAAGCATAACCAAAAATTTAAGAAAATTGTATCCAACAATAATGTTAGAAAAAACGCCCTTCACTTCGCGATGAAAGCGGCACTTTTGGAGGTCTCCGATTCGATTGAAGTTGAGAATGTTTTATAGTATTTTATTATGCATCAGAATTTAGATTTCCCTCAGAATATCCCTTGCGCCTTAAACCGATGTTTTTCCATCTTTCAATTTCGAACCAAATGTACGTTCTCGTCTCGGATGGTCAACAATGCACCCGTAGCTGTAGCATCTTTGACTTTCTTTCACTGCCAAAAAATATGGTGTTAAACTGACGCTAATTAAAGGTCCTTTTTAGCCCTAGTTCTCGAAGTGTTCCGGGCCACTATTTTGGAATCTACCCCGTTTTGGGCCTTACCTCGATGCCCAAGCTCCACAATTCTGCTGTCGGAATCATCCCAAAGAACTTCAATCTTTGGTCTCACACAACTCTATATTTCTCCCTGACTAACATATTTAAAACTGTAAGGTCACGACTACATTCATGCACCGCCGCCAAAAGGTTACCATGGCTTGGTAAGAGGACGAATCCATTCTTTTCAAAATGAAAGACACCGCAGATTTGAAAAAAAAACAATTACCTGTTCCGAATATGGTAATCCTGGTGCCGCCCGCCGTGCTTCCATAGTTGAACGAAAGGGAGTTCACTTTCGCTTCACTCGCTGCCATGGAAAAAAGAAAGATAACACGGCTAGTCACAAATTGAGATAGTTGCTTAATATCAAACTCACTCCATATGTTAACGGAAATGTTTATACAAGTGAAAGCTAGTCATTATTAGTCTTCACGGCATCCGTTTGAAATTGGTAGCCGAAAGTGGGCTGAGAAAATAAATATTTCATTTGAAGACTGGTTATTTGGTTTACTTGACTGAATTGAGGATATGTTTTATTTGTATAATAGCAACTAGCCTCATATTGAAACTGATGTTTAGTGATATAGTTAATAGTGTTACACGAAATTGAAAAAAAAAAACTTGTATCGCCATTATAACAGTTTGAAGTTTTCTTTGATTGGTTTTATGAAAGCATTTGACGGGACAATTTTGATGCGTTTATAGGACTATGCCCATATTACTACGGCGTATATTAAAACCCTATCTAGCTGCGATTGTCTGCCCACGTTTATTTTAAAGAACGAATACCACCTTTTCACTCTGAAAAAGAACGAGTCGTTGATAAATCTACTTCAAAAGAGTGAAAACCACTCCAAAAGAGTGGCATTTCCACTCTGCTCAGCAGCCATATAAAAGGCAACTCGAAAAAGAGTTGTCCTTTATATGACTCCTCTGTTTGAGCATGGTTTGAGAAATATTCACTTTTTTGAAGTGTTTTGCACTCTTTTTAGAGTGGTTTTCACTTCTTTCTCGAGTAGATGTATAAGACACTCTTTTTGAGAGTGAGGTCTTCACTTTATCTTAAACCAATCACGACGGAGATCTTTCGCTCTAATGCATATACCCAACCCTATTTGGTTGAGCGAGGATTGTACTCCCAACTACCGTTTGGTGATTTCTCCAATTTTCAATTTTGTAGAGTCTTTCAACTTAATTGGTCACTTGGTATGGTCAATGAAAAAGTTTCTGCCAAGTTCCTAGCATTCTCACGAATTTGAACTACTATTGTACCATCAGGTACGTGTCGGCAACAATGGAAACTTTTCATTTCGAGGGAAGTAGCGGTAGATCAAGGCGACATCTTGGTTTTGAACACACACACACCAGAGGTTTTAGAAAGCAGGTTTGCACACAGGGTCGTTCGATGTCATACAAACCAAATATCCTTTGGAATGGAGACGGTTGTTAACAAACATTGTCCTTTTTATGAAAGACTTCACGATCCACTGAGAGAAAGCAGTAGTGCCGTAAACAGCGCCATCAAAATGTATTTTGTAGGTTGGCATGGAAACGGGCGACGCTGCCAGTTTTCCTATTCAAGATGTTTACGTGCAAAACGGTTCGTAAGGCAGTGATTTGTGTTTTCCAGACGATGTGAACCGCCGGAAAAGTACAACTGTTCATTGAACCATCACGTTCAGATCGCGCTATTTGTCGTCAGTCGTTCCTTTCAGGGTAAAAGGTCGCGGTAGAAAGCAGGGCGGTCGACGGTGTACAATGGGTGGTTAGTCGACCATTAGTCATTCGTTTCTTATTATTCCCAGTGTTTTCCAACAAAGATCTCACTTCTTTTACAAAAATGCCTTCGCGTTGGTGGCGATTTCGTGCATGACCCTGTTTTATTACTATTGCGTTTTCAATGTCCTAATCATCACACTTTTGGATATGCTCGTAGAAAGACAAAATTGGTTGTAGGTTACATCGTTAAAAATCTGATCAAATTAAAACAAACCTGCTGTTGTGTTCGGATAGGATGCCAACCAAAACACAAAGTTTACTGCAACGCTGTAATACAGCTTAGCCTAATGAGGCTAAAACAGTTTATGCATTTCTTCAAGCATTAAACAATATTTGGCACGAGCGACATAACTTTCACATTTTCAATATGATATAGATAGCTTAAAAACTGGTCAAGAAATAAAAGAGGCACCTCGAAGAAAACGAATTTTCTGCTTGCTCTAACTCAAACGTGTCTCTCGATTCAAAGTACGAACACTGCGCAGGGACTGTATCTCTCCTTGAATGACTGTGTCCAAAACGATAAGTCAAGGCCTGGAGACAGGAGTCACTCGGACACGAATGAACGAGCCCAAGCCTGGCCGTAAATCCTGGGGGGTGGGGGTACATATCCCCCTACGTTTTGAGGTAGGGGGTAGGCTATTGAAACACCCCCTCCCCGCTTTCTTGTCAATTATTTCGAATAGGGGGCCTACATATTACAGATATACATCAATATACATTAATATATAATCAACCTCTACATAGAGTCATATTGTGTCCCCCCCGCTTTCAAGTTTTTCATGTCATCAACCCACCTTTCCCAACCCCCCCCCCACTTTCTGACACAAATTTACGCTACTGGCCTCTGCCAAGATGTTCCCTTTTCCCCTGTCCAAGCCTAAAACCGAGCAGTAGTTCAAAGACCCGACAGCTTTGTGTCCACCTATTCCCTACCCACCCCCTGAATCGATACCAAGAGGAAGCTCTCATTAAGACCGGACCCGTCGGTCAGCAAACATCACATCCAGTCTCTAATATTTGCAAAACCGTCATCGTTCACCTTTAGTCAACACCAGCCCGGTGATACTGGCAACGCTTGATTAACTTAACTCCTTAAGGCAAAGGGTTAAGTGATTGTTCTTGCGCTAAGGAGCAGAGCCTACTTTTTCTTAACATTTTTAAATTAAAAGAGTATTTTGGTATTTGACGGATATATTTCTTGCCTCGGTGCTAGGCCTTCGTTTCTCGCTTGAGCTGTTGGTGGTTCCCCCCCCCCAACTTTTCATTCTTGTATCGGTTAAAATTCCCACGAAGTGGGTTATAATGGCAACAGTTTTCACACGCACCAAAAAACAAACAAACAAACAAACAAACAAACAAACAAAACAACAACAAAATGGTGGGGGCTCGTGTAGAAAGCTGAAGATGGAAAAAGTAATCATTACACGTTAATGAATGATCAACAAAGCCTGCCCATGATGCCACCCCGAACGTGCAACACGAACCTAACGGCGTTGACAAATGAACAGTTGGAGTTATACATGTATTTTTATGGCACATCAGCGATTTCACGGGCATTCCATGAGATAAGCAAGTCCTCTTAAAACAGCCCAGTGGCGTGTTATGAGTAAAACGAGGCCGACAACACAAAAGATTGTTAAAGTTATAAAACTTGGACTAAGCTCACTATATACAGCCGTAAACCGTGCCTCAATATCACCCATAATGTATACGTTTTGGCCAAAGGTTAGTTCGGGGTCTCTATTAATTATCTCGCGACCAAAGAATCCGTCATTTGGCTGATCTTCGATTAAACGGCTCCTGTCTTTATGTAGATGGACAAATGGAATTCATAATCAGTTGGTTTTCTCCATTTGTCCAGCGACCTTGAGAAGGACGGCGTCGGCTTACGGCGCCTTGGCAACGCCGTCAAAACAATAAATACCTCCAATTGTCCCTTTTATGCAAGGGCGGTTTAGGCCGTCTGGTCGAATCTGAAAAAGAAAAAAACCTCGAACCGTCGGGGCGGTCTTTGTTGGTTCATGGTAGGTGCCCCTGGAAGTACCTTGCGAGTGGAATTATTCTGTTGTGGAGGGGTATACATGGGTACAAAAGCACCGGGGGTTAGCCTGGCAATCCCAGGGTCTGTGACGGGTAAATCGATACCGGGATTCGGGATTTCTTGGTAATTCCGTGGAAGCTTAGAAAAACATGCAAATTAGTTGAAATCAGAAGTAGCACCAAGGTGACCTTTCGGTGGTCGAAGCGGGAATTGTAAGTAGGGGTTAATTATCTAACATTTTGGCCTAGTACATCTCTGAAGGTGCAGTGAAAGCTCCTTTTAATACGTGATGTGAAAAACGCACGTTGAAAACTCTATCTTAGAAGTTGATGATAATGTTGAATTGAAAATTATTTTCAACAGAATATTCTCAACTTCTGTAAAGTATGTCAAAGGTTGTTCATCTAAAACTGACAAAAGGATGGGACAACTCCAAGTCGGTTTCCAAATCTTTCGGAAAACGTATCCTTCCACCCCCCACAGGAAACCACAAAAACGTCAGCTTGATTTCATGAAATGTACATCACTTTTGTAAAATTACCGGCTACGAAGGAAAATAATTCACTGCAAAATCCGTGTTTTAATACAAACACCTTTCAAAAACCTTTTTTGTTATCAGTTTATATACTAAAAATGTGTAGATTAGGCTGGGTAGTGTTTAGCCATTGGACATCAATGTTTAGCGACTGCACATGCAATGTTCAGCTTCTAAACATATTTTCAAACTGATAGCAATGATTGTGTTTTTTGCTTCTGTTTTTTAAGTGTGCCAGTTTAAACTCTGCATGTATACTTACTACACCTGAGTGTGAAAAAAGCCGTTTTGAAATTTATTAAATGTATTGGCAGAGGACTGGCTAAAGGATCTCTGCGCGAACAGGCATGTCGTTTGCATTCATGGGTTCTTCTATTGGTGATTTATCGCCACGCTTCAAATAATATATTCATACAAGCGAAGCAGTAGTACAAAATACATAACACCTTGTCCTCGCATCCCATGTTGGATAAAAATACGCCTCTCCTTAAGGTGGGACATTTTGCGTCTTACCCTGGCACGCTGAACAGCATATTATGTCTCTGACAACAATGGTTAAAGCTGTCCCGACATTTGTAATTATGCCAGGATGACTCAGAGAAATTAATGAAGCAGATTGTCCACACACTACTAAGATACAGCAACCTCCTCTGAGCGTGTACGTGGGACATAATTTATTCCTCCTGTGGGACAGTTAGACCAATTCGTACGATCTGGTAAATAAATGCTGACTTTTAACTGTGATTATGCAAACATCACGGTAAAAATTGACAACTTTTTAATACGGGCTTTGTACACTGATTTACATGTAGCTATAGAAATGATGACGATCACAGAAAACATAATTCAGTGATTAACAGCATAACTCTTCTTGAGCAGAATGTCTCTATGCTGACTCCATCCTTTAAATAAATTTGCTCAATTGAATATTTACATTCCATTAAAATAATGCTTCTAATACCAAACTGGATCAAATATGGAAAAGAAACGTTGGGGACGAACTGTAAATTTAAAAGAAAGTTGAACATTTAGGCTAGACATTTCGTTCGATTTCTGTGACACTTATGCATGCTAATCTTGAATGATGTTGCTATGGAGACAGTATCAGTAGGGCGTGCTGTCCTTGGAAGACGTTTATCAAGACCTGTCTCAGAACCGTCTCGACATGCTCTTGAAATTAATTCGACACTAAAATAAATTACAAACTGTGACAACAAATCAAACACGATGTACGTGCAGATTCAATGTATAAAGAGGGCGACGGGTATGCTATCAAGGTAAAAGGGACATTTAAGACGGTTGCCGTCGTTTATTGTAAATAGGCCTACACTAAATCTTTTAGAGCTTACCAAAAATGAAATATTTCCATCAGAATTTTGAAAAACAGTTTTTATTCATATTAATATGGTAAGTCTATTTAACGCACTTGATTTCAGATACATATTTTTAAATCAATGAAAATCGAGATTTTTTCACTATCTTGCAAATTTCAGGTTACTTTCACACAGGGTATTTTAATGCGAAATAATGTGGGATCAGTGGATCGAAATTACACTGCACTTTTGTCACCATAAATAACTTCTAATTGTAAAACTACTCATATATAAACCAAAGAAACTACATTTTGGATATAAAAAGGCAAGACAAGTGAGTGTGGGACTAGACCATTAAGTCTCGCCTGTATTCCAATTATAAAACAATGAAAAAACTTATTGCATCGAACATACAGCCAACGTCGTGTTCAGAGGAAAATTTATAGGGCTACATATAATTTAATATAGCCCTATGGAAAATCGAATCAAAATACAAAAAGCTTTAAAACAACGTCTGCTCAAAGATGATGAACTGGCTTTCGATTTGGCTTCTGATGATTCCTGAAGTATCACTCGGTATCAGGGTGTAAAAGCAGGTGATATTTGAAGGATGCGCCTGTGCAAGTCGAGCTGAAGTGTCAAGGGCTTTAGTAAATTGAATGCGGCAGCTGTTGTGTTGCAGGACATCACGAAAATAAAACATAAATTCTACAGTTACAAAGGTGACCATTACTCTATTTGTTTTGGTGTTTCGAGGGGACATTCTCAAGATTTATTTATTGGTTCAATCGCACTCTTATCTTTTGCATGGTGTTTTGCTATTTTCTGGGGTGGTTCGGTCGTTCCTACAGACATCTGCGCGTTCGGGAGGTTACGGGCGCTTATTTCTTTTCACGCAGTCCTTGTATGAAAGTACCTTTGTGTCCCAGTTAACCAGATCTTCATTCTTCATGTTGCCCTTTTAAGATTTAAGAGAATTTTGGCGCCTTTCAGATACTTACGCTGATGTCGTTCAAGCAAATTCACCGATAACGTGTCATTTTAGGAAGAAACCTCAATGTAATTCACCTATATACAACGCCATTACTACAGATTTGTCGGATTTTTAGAATATCTTTTTTGTCTTGTGTAAGAGTTTCCTTTTCTTTGGCTATCTTTCCAGTAAACAAATCCGATTCATCGAAATTATTTTGAATGAGTAAATTTTAGCTTCACAATTTGAACTTGACCAGAAAACACTTGGAATGAAAATTGTCTCCCTAAACTAACAGCAAAGCAACTGTGCACCTAATTTTTTTCAGAAAAAGTACGGACCTATCGGTACATAGGCCCAATTATATTTTTAAAAAATCCTTTAACAATGAGATTTGTCAAAAATGGATAACAAACAGCCGCCGTACATTTAAACGTGTTCCGAAGTAAATTCAAGCCACGGCTCTTTAATTAAAACTTGAGCCAGGAAAAACAACTCACGTGCAAGCCGATCGTGGAAAGCGAGCTGATATACAACTGTTTAATGGAAAAGTGAAACGTTATTGGACGAAACTGTTGAGGGGCACGAATCGTCGGCTCAATTATCGCAAAGGCGACTCAAAAAAAAAAAACCGAAACAAGAAGCATGCATTGAAAATAAAAATCAGTATATGCAATCTATATGCGCACGTTGGCGCATAAGGTGTACAATAAGGGGGAGTGTTACAAGGTCCTTGGATATATGAAGCCATTTTTTTTTTTTACAAAATTGAGGAAGGGTGATTTGGGGAGTCTATTTCATTTCCTTTCCTTCCAATAGCTCCTGACTGCATAGTCTCACCTTCAGAAAGACATAAAAAGACTACGTGAAAAAGTTGTCGCAATCCCCCCCCCCCAAATTTCCAAGTTTGCCTCACCCAGACAGTTTGGTTTGGGATCCACCCTTGGTCAATCGAAGAGGTTGAATACTCAAACGTCAGGATGTCCCCCTCTTGAACTACAGAATAAAAGTTCTTTGTCGACAACTGACATAAAAGGAATGTTTCTGGAATGTAACGCATGGACGCGTAGGGCAATAATCAGTGAAAACTTGATGTCAAAATAATACACTGTAGTGTGCGATGAATGAGGCCTTAACCTACCCAGTATCACCCGTGCATAAATTATGCCCTTAATAATTGACAGAAATAGAAAGCATGGTTATATTGCATTCTCAAGAAGACTAAGTGCCACAATTCCCAATTCCCATGGCAACTCCATTTTCAGTGAGAAGCTATACCCTTCATCATCTTTCCAGCTACGTGTATAATTCAGTATGAGAACCGTTCAGGCAGGGCCTCGAAATCATATAAGGACACGGTGGACTGCCGACGCTGAGTGTCATCAACACTGTTTTAGATTAGAAAACAACCAGATAACAGAGGTTTATCACCTTAAAGTCAGCTCGGGAATGCATGTATAATGCTATGGCTAACGGGTAGCCTGATATTCCACTGCACTATATATTTTGACTATACCATTTATCATGTCTACTATCATTTGCATAATATTTATCACATCTACCATCATTTGCATAATATTTATCACATGTACTATCATTAGCATAATATTGATCACATCTACTATCATTTGCACAATATTTATCAAGTCTACCATCAGTTTTACATGTCTGAAGTTTATTATTAAGAAGACATCTTTGAGATATGTTGATATGGGAATCTATTCTTCATGGTTATCATTCTTGTCTTGTTTCTGATTAATACTCAAGTTTTTATTTTGGACGAAATTATCGTCATTCCATGATGAAGAACATCGTCATGCTAATCCAATTTATGTGCGAGTTATGCTTGTAAAAGGGCATATATACAAGGGCTTTAACACTGCGTGAGTGATCCGAAGAACAGGCCTCAAACAGGACCAATGTTGGAATTTTCGTCCAGAAATACGTTATCGTTTATACATGATAGTATTTTAGATTTGACCATCTTCAAATTTGCCATTATCCTATAGTAATATGATAATGGCAAATTCGAAGATGGTCAAAATTGACATGTCATGTCAATTTAAGGATTTTAATACTTCAATAAAATGATACCGTTGGTTCAGTTCCTGTGTTGTGAAGCCTGCAGATGAGAGAACTTGCGTCAGAATCGAGCAGGGATTGTCTATAAAAGCTATAGTCATACATGTACAGGTACCTGCATTTCAATTATTAACTATATCTTGAAGAAAGATTTGAAACCAACTCATATTTAAAAGGGACCACACTAATTTTCTTGGCAGAAATAATCCTATATTCCATTTCTCACAGACTGTTACCATAGAGTATTTTTGACATAACAGTATTTGGGATTTCACGGATTTGAATTCGCTCATTACAATGTCATCTAATGCAAATCTTACTTCGCTTTCACACGTGTATTTTGTAGCCTTCTGTTGTACACGTCCATGTAAAAATCCATGTATAATTGCCTTGGCGAGTTGTGTTATACCGTGAATCTGTACAATTTTACTGGAGCCACCACATATTTCATGGATTGTATATTTAAAAGGAGGTTACTGGAGATATGACAATTTTCTCTACCGGCGGTATCAAAGTAGAATCTCTTTGACACATTGCTCTTCATACTTACGTTGCATGAACTTTTCGGTTCTTCTTCTTTTTTTGTTAATACTGCAAACAAACTCCTCAAGCGGGATTTACTGTTGCAGGTGTGTCGTAGCCAGTGTATACCAATAGTGGGCTCCCAGATACTAAAAGTGACACCCCCCCTGTAATAAAATCTAGGGCCTACACCAAGAAAGTTTTCTTTAGGTTTTGTAGAATTTAGTAAAGCATAGCCGGCGGGCGCTGGCAGGAAAAACTGTGTGGATTGACCGCGGAACTCACTTGACACGGTAACGAACTGTGGACGCGAGCCTTTTAAAGAAAAGGGAAACACTGAACCGGACAGTGTGTGTTCTCTATGTGTACTGAAAGCGAAAGGGCAAGCATAGCCCGACTTACCGTCCACTGTGTGTCGAGTCAGCGAAGCGATCACCAGCAGCATGGCGGTCGTCAGGGACGCCATGATCGGTGGATCGGACAGGCGACACACGGATCCGAGCAAAGGCCAGACTGTGGTCCTACAAGGAATCACAGCAGCGCAGGATGAAACAAAACTAGCCCCTCACAGTGAATCGATGATCGCCCGGTCACAATGCGTGTCTTCTGAGCAAATAGAGTGATATAACTTGGGAAGGACACTTGCTGATAATCTTGTGCAAATATAAATGAACGATCGTAATAAAACTGAAGTCTGTCGCCCGGCGCCCGTCACGCTGTCACTGAGTGTAGTGTGGTCAGTACCAACGTTTATGTCATCAGAGCATGGGTCCAAGCATTCATACATCATGGTGCATCACCGACGGTGGTGGCGTTATGGGTAGCACGCACTAGACAATCGCTAGTAAGTGCCATTACCCCCCCCCCTTTTTTGGGGGGGGGGCGGGGGAGGTGGAATGCACACCATAACAATAAGAACAGCTCCTGTATCAATTGATAATTTACGGATGGGTGCATCGACGTCAGCATCTCTGAGTGATTGCATTACATTGAAAAGGAAGAATACATGCACGCAGATCACGTACGAAGGAGCAATAAGGCATGGCTAATTACACGTAAGGCTGCTTACGACTACTGTAAAGCCTGAGTGGACGGTCATCCCATAGAGATATGCCCCCCCCCCCCGCTAGTTCGTGGGGGGGGGCGTGCCAAAATACTCTCAGACAGAAGTATAGGGAGGAAAGAAGAGCAGATCCTTGGGCCTTATTTTTTTCAATAGATTTTGGTACGGATTTGATAACCATCTATTCCTTTGAATGACTTAGCACCCGTGCTCATCCCAAAATACACCTCTCTATATCAGGTGCACCCTTGTATTTAGGCCAGAAATATGTCCGCCGAGCTCATTAATAAAAGTTATACACTCACAATATTCTATATTAGAGGGTCCTGAGAGCAATGGAATTTGGGAATTGAAGAAATATGGCACCGAACCTCTGGCCCGGACTCAGGGCTTCCAATTCTGCGCAATTTGGATACAATCGGGTCCGAAAGTGCCACTATTTTGGCCATTTTGCTGAGGGATGCAGTTTCAAAATGCCTACTTTCCCGGGCAGTGAAATTCCTTCCGTTTTAGGGGGTGGTCTGCTTTGGGTGAGAATTTCTCAAAAATTCAACGGTCAACCCACTAAAAATTGAAAGGAAAATGAAAGAGGACATGTGGAACATCATTTTTCTGTGCAGCCTGAACACCTGTGAGAGTTGTGAGTATTTTTTAAATATTTGTGAAGCATGGGGATTTATCACATCTGTCGATGGAAATTTATTTGTAGTGTCATAACAGTTTTTACACTCAACAATTACGGAATGCCTTAGGTCACACGATATGCACTGAAGTTTAAATGCAAAAAGTTTGTTGCCCGCTACGTTACGACCTGCGGAAAGCGTGTTTTTATAGAGGCCTATCATTACAGATGAAGTTAAGGCGTACAGTTGTCGAAGAAAAGGAAAGGGGGTTTAGATAAAATGCACCAATTCAGAGAACTCGGAATGGCTGCATAACGACGGCCTAGAGAAGGAAAACACGAACTTATACTTCCGCACGGACTAAATACCCTGATGTCATCCTGACTATTCACTCATATGATGTGACGTCGGGTTTGGATTTGGTGAGGACGTGCACATGGTGCCCAAAGTGGTACAGGCCAATGTACATGTACATGTATACACGCTCAGCATTTCCTACGCATGGGATCAGTGACCGAATCACTATTGCATATCCACAATTTTTCCCGCATTTGAGGGATATATACATGTACGTTACTTCCACTTAACTCCAGGGTTTGTAAAACATGATAAAAATCGAAGGGTCCAAACTCTGAATAGTGCCGTGAGTTCATTTTAATGTTCTCGGGAGTTTGGTGAACTTAACCATGCTATGGCTAGGCTAATTCCTCCATTTTGAATCGAAGTAGAGAGATTTTTTTCGGTATGTAGGAATCAGCAACTATCGGTGCCGTCACAATGCACGAGATGAAATTTTGGAGGCACTTGGGGTGCATACAATTTTTCGTTGTTTTTTTTTTTAAGTGGGAGTCGAAAACAAACGGAACTGCAGTACTAGACAGTTGTATTCACTGCAAGATTTTGAATGGGGATCGTAACACGTCCACCGAGTACCCCCCAGGGGTGATCAACTTTACAATTGAAATTGCCAAAGTCATCGAACACTTCCAAAAATGAGGCACAGTGTGCATTAGATGACGAATAAAGTTCTGGTTTGCCCTGCATAGGGGAGGGTTACCGTCGCGGCAGTTTCGTGTATGCAAATGTTTATTTATTGGCCCGCCATCCCGAGAAGTCGTCCGCTGCGTCACCAAAGGTCATGAAGAAGGAGATTCGAAGAACAGCCTTGTGCACCACCCTCCCTGGTATTGGTAAAGGCTCAGCCAAGAACCAACGTCAGATTTCTGAAATCCGGGATGGGGTGGGGGCTTGTCAGGAACGAGACTTGTTACATAAAAACAACAGTATGTCGATCCGCATAGCATACGATTAAAGGCAACGTCCTAAAATCACGAGGGAAAATTCAGAGCATAATTTTATTTCTGCTACATTCCCGTGTCCGCGCTATGCTTTGTACTCACAGATACAACATGATTCACCCCAGTGTGGGAAAAATGTTGAAATTAATGATAAAATCAACGTGTTGGGATCTATGCTGCATGAACCCTGCAGAGATGTAATGACTCGAGTCAATGGCCCGGCTCGAGTCACAACTGTTGGCGATTCGACTCGACTCGATTCCCGACGGGCAAATGACTCGACTTGAGTCACTGAGAGCAATTAATTTGACTCGACTCGAGTCCCTCATCATCAGATCTGACTCGAGTGAAAGTCAGAGACTCGAGTCCCCCAAATAAAAGCAAACTTCTTGGCTTACACTGCTGGCTTATAATTTTCATGTCATTATTGTTACCATCAAGAGTAAAATATGTGGCGTGACCACATGTAGTAACCCTGAGGTAAATTTTAAAATGCCCCGAATGGCTTGTCTTTCTTTATTTATCGTATTGTGCTCAAATATTAATATGACTCGAATTGACTTGACTTGTATGCCTATCACTCTAAAAACTCCAGGGTCAGAATGGTCCAGAATTGGGTCCCATTGGGTCTGACTCTTTTCCAGGTCAAAATATGACCCCTCATACTCGACTCGAATCACTGTTACAATGACTCGACTTGACTGGATTTACTACGTTACAGTCACTCAACTTGGCTCAAATGACAAAAATTAGTGACTTACTACAACTCTGGTAGCCCTCTGTCAGTTTGGAGGCCCTCGATTCCCCAAAAGAAGTTCTCCCAACTACATGACGTTCGGTTGTTCCAAAAACACAACAGGAAGAAGTATTTTTTTGCGGAGATGTTGATTTTGCTCTTTGTTTTTGAAGGCTGATTTGGCCAGTTTCGTAAAGCCAAACATGTTCAGCGGGTAAGTTGCCCAACATCCCCCCACCCGCTAGATGGATGCGGGCTGTCGAAAATTTAGCCCGAAAATTCGCCTGCGTATTCTAGGAGCTACTTCCTGCCGACCAATCTTTTTAAAACATTTTGATTTTTTCGAGAGGAAAACTCTTCGTATCGCCTTGTCCCAGGGCGGACAGTCTTCTTCCAAAGTTCTATGTTCAATAGGCCTACCTGTACAATGCGCATGCGTTTTGTTCAAAAATTGTTCACATTATGGAGCGAGCACGATTAGATAAGCCTATCGCTTTATTGCATGTCAGATCAGATCACGAATTCTGTTCTCCGTACGATCGTTATAAATGACTAAATAAAGGTTTCGCGACATTTACTCGCTGTAGCTGTATACATGTAAGAAAACACATGAACATATCAAGTGGGTATATCTCTTGAACCTGCACAAAAGTTAACAATACACTGCACCCCCCCTCACTTCAAGTCTGGGGAAACTATCTTGGCACGTTTTAATATTAAACCTACATGCATGAAAAGGCTAAATGTAAAAAGGGTCGGTTTAATTTGGAGTGACGTGTACATTACATCGTGAAAGAGAGCTAACAACTAATAATTTTTCCACTCTTTCGCTGGATAAAAAGTTATTTTCTTCTGAAATTTCGCGGGAATTGCAACCCGATCGTCGGATTACATCCGGTGAACAGAAAAAATTCCAACGCTACACTGCTTTATTTGACCCTGTAATATAACCCCCATAAAACACAGCATTCTGATCACACAGGGAGAATTCTGTTACCAAATCTCCATGGTTACTGTTAGACGGGGACAACCCCTCAAGTTCCCCGTAGCAGAGTCAATATCTTCGTGCTCTAGTCTGGTGCCAGCCGAAGTTTGTGTGATCCCAAACACCGACTTATACCCACCACTCGTATATACAAACCACATGTATAAAGTAACTCGCCAATTCCTGCCACAACCCTGTACTGAACAAGCGGGTATGATATTCGACTGAATAAATGCAAGACCAATTATACTGAGCAACAAGAAATCAACGACTGAAACATAAAAACCCTCGATCTACGGCTGGGCAACTTGGAGTGGTTTGGGGTAAGAGGTTTAGAGGCGTACTCAAAACTGAACAATATAAATACACCGCTCACCGAGTCAAAAGTACACGTTTATAGTCTTTTTATTTTACCTTTACAATCCATGTTTTTTATACGTAAACAGTATACTTGAGTCCCATGTCGAGCATTCTCCTCATCAAAAATTACTATTCCCCCCCACAGAGGGACGAGTTCCATTTTCAGTTTAAACGACCTTTGTGTATTCTTTCCAAAACAGACAAAATAAAAAACAAAGAAACATTTTATATGGCCATTTAACCCGACCATTTTGAGGGAGGGGATGTCAAATTTTCCCCCTGTCGTGAGCCATATATTTTTCCCAGGACGGCAAGTACATTTTGGAGGAGTCCGTGTCCCTCGCATGACTCGGGGCAGATAAACCACGACACCAAAATATGTATTATAGTTTCATGGATGCAAACATTTACATCGGCTGGGAACTGGGTCAAAGTTCGCCTGTAGGTCGGTTCACTTGGAATGGAATCGAAGCCGGATTGCAGGCACTGAAATAAATGTCCATGTACATTGTTTTGCCCCCAACTTTCCATCGTTTACCGAATAAGACAGGGTGATTAGCTCTGAAATCCAGTAAGACAAGATCATGGACCATCTTTCCGACAACGCGGTACAGCGGGAAAAACGACGGCGAATGAAGGATTCTAATGTACAGAGTACGTTGTATATAGGGTTAAATATTCACAATATATTTCTCCCGAGAATTTTTTTTTCTAAGACAGCTTCATCCGGGAAGCCTTAGTTCTTCCTCCTTTTGCCTTTACACATGTATCTGAAAGCTTTCCCCCACAATTAGAGTTTACATTTTAAAGTTAGACCATGGTGTGACTGTCACCATTAACGAGAGTTGTACATGTACATGTGTATATTACACTTTGGGATATAACAAAGAACTAAGTTGACCTTTCCTTCGTGCAGATTTTTCATTTCACAGTCCCCTTTTTAATTTTGACTTTTTTTTTATTTACAGGCACATTACAACCAGGCAACTGAACGGTTACCCCGACACCTGCAACACGGCGTTCAGCCATTTCTACTGGCGAAACTTCGTACAGAACGTTCACACCTAATTATGAAGCAGAGAAGAATATGTATCTCTTTTTTTTTTCTTTAAATACTTGATCCCGAAGACCACGACTGCGCCCACGTTTAGCCCATGGTATTAGCTGGAAAACGGGGGGGGGGAGTTGATGGTCACGAATGCACAGATAGTACATTATTGTAACCGATCGCCTGGGTTGACTTCTCCGATCAAATTCCGTGGTATCTTTACACCTCGAACTTGTAACAGTTTCACGGGGAAAATGACACTGGAGTTCATAGCCCTGACTGCAAGCGGCTTTGACGTCAGGCAGCCTCCAGAGTCTTTCAAATCCCACGCCTTTGCTGGAAACCACTGGCACACTTCTAGATACTTGAGACAATCGAGATGTGGCATGGTGTCCCGTAAAGGATTAAAGGCTGTGCTCTATCTACCGTCATAAGAAATCCTTTCACATCCCTGAGGGAGCTCTGAAGGATTTTGAAGGTTTAGTGGTGGTTGGTGGGGTTACAAGCAAAATTTGTTTCTCCCGTGGCTATACATGGATTCCGTGAATCTGCTGCCACGTACCAAAGAAGAAGCACTATGACCGTGAATACTAGCATCTTTCATGCTACAGGAATCTCTCAGTAAAAAAAAAAAGGGGGGCGGGCAGCTGCATCGATGAAGTTGCCGCAACGAAACCACAGATGGGCTCAATCTCCACAAGTTGCTAAGCAGGAAACAATGCTTGGAAAAAAGTGCTCACAAAAAAAAAAACAACAGAAAAAAAAACACCAAGAACCAGTTGCAAACTGTGTACACCACATGGTACTAAGACGAATGTTTTCTGCGCTTAGGCAGATTTCTTAGTGCATTTTACTTTCTCTAAAATGCGCTAAGAAATCTTCCTAAGCGTAGATAACAATCGGTCAAACGGTGATCAATGTTTGACTGGCTTGACGTTGCAGCCCAGAAGGAAAAGAAAAAGTTGGATGACCAAAAACACAACCTGGAAGACTGCAGAAAGGGGAAATCAAGGTGGGTGGAGCTACGACTTTGGAATGAAGCAAGGTAATACGCACAAGAAAGGCAAAAGTGGAAACATTCAGAGCGTGATGACTTTACGTGCCACGTGAAGACACCGAAGAATAGGTAATGGTTAGGTTAACACACTTCTCGGATTACACCTCTCTGAGAACGACCCCCGCTGACGGTGGTACAATGGTTAAAAAATTCCAGAATTTGGGGGAAACTCAATGGCGGCAAACACCCCACAATACAAAGTCAACTGGGCGAAACTTTCACTACACCTGACACAAGTTACCTGGTGGTTAAAGTACACTAACCCTGTGAAGGTTATGACGAATACATAACTGTGCTGCCCTCTGTCACCGACTACCGATACTTAGGAAAAAGTTCAGCTGCAAAGACAGACAAAGGTCATTCTCCAAATCCCGGCTTCGTATATGTGGCTTGAACGCCGGCTACAGAAACATTTTCACACATTTTGTCCAAACCAAATAAAGATAATCTGCAAATGTTGACCTAAATGAAATGGGACCACGAAGTCAAAGCTAAGGAGAAGCCGAGGTTTGAAAGAAAATCCCAAGCCTCAAAATTAGGAGCGTGTCTGAATTTGGCAATTTGTTTATACGGCTTTGGTCTTTATCAAAACATGACTACTGACAATCCCAGCCATCAATGTCTAATGTATACGAGACGAAAACAATTTACACCAATTAAATTAAAGTTGCAGAACTGATAGTTCAAACCTCCCTCGACCTTTGACCAGCTAATTTTTACAGCCTTTGAACTAACAAATTTTGAGCAGTCTCGCCACGGATGTACAATGTTAACACCGATGGGTCCACAAATCTTTTGATTGGTTAGAACTTACAGAGCACAATTTAAAAAAAAAAGTCGGAATGTTAACACACAGTGTTTACTTTCAGAAATATTACACCCAATGCAAATGTTCAGATGTCAAATATCTAAAAGCAAAATATGATACTGGCTAGTGAGCACAGAACAGGAAAAACGGGCATCAGTCTCGGACGTTTTAAAGTTGGCATGCAGCTTTGCTGTCTTAAAATGTTTCACAACAATTTCTTGCAGGGTAATTCCAATTACATTTGTTTTAAATTGCAAGTCTAAAAATATTTTGCGCAAAATCAATCCATACAAAAACTTACATAAACATAATAAAGTTCAATATAACAAACAGATAGGGCACAACATTTCAGAGGCAAGACATTCCACTTTTTTTGAAGATTTTTACCTGTTTTGAGGAAGGCCGAGAAAGAATTCTAATTTAACGAAAGGGGGTCAGAACTTGCGTAATACTGATGGAATAAAAAACATTTACAGAGCACTTTTTCTCTTTCGTAATTTGGCAGAGGACACAAGGTCGAACACAACCGGTGGTGACTAACAACGTCAGAATCGACAAGACCAGCAACAATACTGTCGAAAATATTTGACGGGCCGTCACGGTTGGTAAATCAAGCGTTACATGGTTTTCTGATGGGTTTGGAACTAAGAAAGTATGCACAACTTCCGCGTTATCACAAAAAGAAGTCTCGAGTGGTTTTTCCGACTGCGCCCATCTAACGGAATGTTTGGCAATTTGTGGCTGGAGGAAAAGCTTTCTGGGGAATTGGAAGATATGAAAAGTAGATATGACGCTTCTGTACCGCAATTCAACCTGTGTTGTGATGCATACGCCATCGAAAGTTATAGCACGTGTGCTGTTTTACACCTAGTTCCTAGTTAACAAAGGTTAACTAGTTCAAAGGATAAAAAGGCCAATAGGGAGTGTCTGAAAAAAAGAAATCGAGAACATTCTCACTCAGTTTAGAATCCTGTTTGTCACGAAGCAAAAGCAAACAATAGCGTTAAGTATGTTTACAACAGGACCCATAATTGCTGCACCGTGATGATATTTTAAACTGTTCTTGCTAATTACATCAACTCTGTGCTTAGTAGCTCTGTGGAGTAGCTATGTGAGCACTACGCAGGAAATACACGGAGAGATTTAAAACACACATTTAAATTCATAATTGCACCCAATAATCCAGTCAAAGTTTCTGTTCAATTTGGATGGTTACCGCGGCCACAAACAAGTCAGGCTGTGGCGTAATCTGAAGGCCCACCCCAAATGAAGCAGTTTCCCAGTGTCTACATTAACAGCTGCTTACCCACGGATTCTCTCTCTCTTGGTTGGATACAAAACTAACAAGCCGAGCCAGTGTAGCACATGTAAGCAAACACACCTAAGCTCAAAAGTTATCGAGGGTTTTCCCAGAGCCCTGAACGGCTAGCCATTTCGAACAGAGATAAGATCTCCAAAAAATGCACACACGGCTTGGAACACGGTACGGAAGATGCCACTAACCCACACTTTAAATTCCATTCCACAAACTACTTACCGATGAAAGCCCTATAAATGAAATCAAATTCAAAACACCAGACTTCTTAGCACAACACGTAATTTTTGCATCACCGTTAAAGAATCAAGCAGCACTAACCAAAACCAACTTTTTTTCCCAATCTGCCTTCTCTGAAGAAATAATTCAAAACTTGTATGCAACCAATGTTACCCTTTCTTGACAGATACCTGGACTCAGCCGGGGCTGTTTTGCAAATTTGTCAAACTGCAGATTTTGTTCAAATTGGTGAGCACGGGGACCAGCCTTGACCTGGAGCGGCCTCTCAAGCTATCAAAATAATGCTGAAAACCCTCATACAAAAGGAGGGGCAAACCAATGCGATGTGGAAAATATTTGGGCACATCAATACTGCAATAACCATGTTGGGGGACACACGAGGGTATTTCCACGTCGAGGGTACACCTACTCTGGCCCAGTGGCACCGCCTCTGATGCTTAGCCCTGACGCCCTGAGCGTTTTTGCCGGGAACCTCCTTGGACCCTCTCAAATCCTAAACTTATCACACAGGAAAAGCAACGGCACGAGGTTTTTATTCCAATGGAGGCAAAAGGGCTACATAAACAGTGGCTGGGCTTTACCTTCCTAAATCCTGCAAAATCCTCTTTAAGAGCTGGAGGATTTTGTAGGATCCGGGAGGGATTGGGTTAAAGGCCGCAAGACTTTTTTTCACAGATGCAAACTCCTCACTTAGAACCTAAAACTACAATCTGTAAATTTTTTAATACCAATTTGGAACTCTCTGACCCCCAAGCCCCGCCCACATTGCTCCCTTTCCCTATTCAAGTCAACACTTAATTTTCACCTACTACTTTCAGATCGACAGCACCAAAAAATATATAAAAATAATCACATGCTCAACATATACGTACATGTACAATTTGTTTTGCTGTCGACTCTTTCGATGGCCATCAAATACATCTTTCACAAGTTTGTTACATGGAACTAAAAAAAAAAAAAAAAAGAAACCAAATAAAAAAAAAAACAATAAAAATATATCGATAACAAAAACACAACCATCTTGGTGAACACCACCAAAGCTAACATTCTAAGTCTTGCTTTGCACATATTTTTTTTCCCTGTTATGTTTGTTTTTGTTTTCCCCTTGGTAGGTAAATTTAATATGTACACATTCTGTTGTCTAGGCTACACCAGCTGTGCTGTCCACGGCAATGGTTGGAGGGGGAGGGCAGGGTTTACAGTGCCCCTGATGCTTGCTGGTAATGTTCCGGCCATTTTACGTACATCACCTTGATTGAGGTTGGTGCATTTTTTGGGACGGGACGGAGGGCATGTGGGTGGATGTTGGAGGGGATATGGCAATAACAATGGTGCCTTCTTTGAAAGACTGGAGGGTACCTTCACATGCAAAGCCGCGAAGGGTTGTGTACATATAATATACATTTTTCCTCCAAAATAAAGTTAGTTATTGTGCTGCAGTCAATGTCCATGGAGGTAAACAAAATCGATGAGTACTTTCAAAAAGCCTGCGAATTTCTTTTTTTTTCCGACAAAGCATTCTTAAAACATTTACACGGACCGAACACTTTATAAACTTTGGACCCATGGGAAATAAAAAAAAATATATAAAAACAGAAAACTGATACAAAGTTCAACCCAGTGGGAAAACGGGGTGAGTACCATTTGGCCTCGCTGGACCATCAGAATTAATCACCAAACTACAAGTGGGAAGATTACCTTATTTCCCCCTCTCATCCAAGATGGAGTTTAAACTCTCCAGTTTGCAACATACAATGATAAACTCGAAAGAACAGACGGATGGTGGGGGGGGGCAATCCACAACCAGGAACTGCTTATTAATTCTAAAAAAGCAGCAACAACCGCAATTTTTTTGGATATTTTTTGCAAGTGTTTGAAAAAAATGAATTGCAAACTGCGAGTGTTGCCCAACACACTCTGTCTATGCGTCCAGGGTTCGGGCAGTTCACTCGCAAGCCACAAGACATAGGACAGCCACACCACGGACCTACAGAAGCGACCCTCTCAACCAAAGCACCTGTGGACATTCCTTTTTTTTTTTAATTTAATTGTTTTTTTGTTTCTTGTACAATGCTACAAAAAATTACATCAATGTACATTTTTGGCATTCCTCCAGCAGAACCACGAAAGGAAAAAAAAGGACGACGACCATAAATGATGACAATACCTGCCTTAAGAAGCAAGGATGTTTCTTTTGTTTCAGACACACCAACGGGAGGAGGGATACTATTTTTTCACTCAGAGAGATGGTAAGTACAAAACTAAAAGCCGGTTTTAGCTCGGGGGCTTTTCTTGGAAGAGGTACAAATTATTGGTGGCGGCAACGGCGATGATGTTCTCCTTGGGGTGCCAGGCGGTGTGCAGGATCTTGCGGGTGAAGTCCAGGCTGTCCACGCTGATCTCGTCCTTCTTGCGCTTGCCACCTGTGTTGACGCGCCGCGGCTTCAGCACCTGCAGGGGCTTGATGCTGTCGCGCGAGGCCTCCAGCGTTGAGTCCCGCTTGGTGTTGCGGTCGAATATCCGAAAGAAGTTGTTGTAGGAACCCGTCATGATGGCCCTGCGGTGAGAGAGTGGAGACCAGAAACGAAAATTCAAACAGCGCTGGATCCTCACACTGTCTTTCTCTGGCCATTTTGGGGACCTTTTCAAAGGATGGTGATGTAATATTCTGCATTCACGAGCCAACATTATGATGTCGGTGAGGCTTCCCTGACAGCAGCTTCCGCAAAACACATGCCGCATCTGTTCGGTTTCATCTTTTGTCAACCATTTTCTAGTTAATTCAATCCACAACTGGCAGTTGCTCAACAGACATTATTGGTTCATCTTACTGTAAAAAACTGTCCTTCACTGTATAACGAACAAAAAGCAGAGGACTGGCCCAGTTTCACATGTAAGGGGCAGGCATTCTTAAATTTGAGGGGGGGAGGAGAACTATTTTCGCAAGTCACAGCACCCCCCCTCCCCGGTCAAGGAGGAATTTAGCGCACACGAATGGGCCTGTGCAGGCCTGCCAACCTAGGCGTACTCCTTCCTGAGGTCGGACATTACCACACAACTGATTAAAAGGTATTTAAATGAGCCTTCCGTTCATTTAAATTTTAAATCTATTGAGTGATGATGATCTGCCTGGGCGGCAGCTTTATAGCTCTGCAGTAATGGATTCTAAATGTGGCCACTAAAGATTAGCCTGTAAATGTCTTGGGGCGATGTCACAGCAACAGTGCCCTTGGGTGTGAGGGATAGTATGGAAACTGGTAAATGCTGATGGCGCAACTGGAGGATATAGGTTTCTTAAATGCGATACAAAAAGTGCAATGGAACCTGAAATGGCCCCACTGAGCTGTATGGGCCTTGAGCTGGACCAAGAGAGGGTGCTATTTCCTAAGCAACGGAATCTCTTTTGGTCGGGACTGAACTTTGCCGGTTCGCAAACAAGGAGGAAATGCACGTGTCCGGGTCGCATCGCTACCAACAAAATGAACACTCAACCAATGAGGGGTGCTTCTAATTGGAGGAAAGGCAACATTCATGCAGGACGGGCACTTTTTGCTTACAAACCCTGTTTTATTCCACGTTTAACCACTTGCTGCCGGGTGGTTTGAAAAATGCAGTGCATATAATCGGGACTTTTTCAAGATTTTCGGTTTTCAAAATTCTTCAAAAATTCATAATTTCAATTAATGGACGTTTACACCCACACAAATTACTGTCTGGTAGCCACTCTAGTCTGCCAGACAAAATTTACTGATGCTAGAGTATTTCAGCCAGACCTGCAGCCTTGTAAAAAGAGCCCAGATTGTGTGGTGTTATGTAATGTTCTTGTGTTCACAAACCTGCGCTGCTGACCTCTATTCAATGGGGGCCAGATTAGTGTGCAGCGGTGCTGTGTGGCTCATCGCTGCGGTGGCGGAGCGCTTTTGTTCTCGGTGGTAATATGCTCGCACTAAATGCCCAAAACCGTGGTATACTGTTTCAAAACAAGGCTGGATTATATCCACTATTAAGAGTGAAAAAATGTTGGTAATGCCCAGCAGCCTGGTCTTTTGTTCCTAGTACGGTCTTTTGGTACAAGGCCCAGTTCCCTTTGTCCGATTTCGGAGACCCCGGCCACGCGTATAAACACACAGTGCCCGAAACCGGAGTAACTGGCGGCAAGTGATTTACACTGGAGAACATTTTTTTGTTCCCATCCCAGCATTGGGTACAATGGAAACAGGGTCTCAGATAGCACTAGAGGTACCGTTGTAAATACTTTGCTGGGAGAGGACAGGTAGTGTTTAACCTTGCAGAGAGGATGAGCAGATAATCCAACCTGAGATGAATCTCTATTGCACAGTGCGGTACTTGTTCCTCATCAAATCCACAATGATCACCAATGCCCTCAGGTATCCGGAAACACTGATGCCCGACATAAAAACGTAACTAAATTAAACGAAACACAGTCAAACTCACGTATCATTGCCGTTCCAGACGCACTCAAACTTGTCAAAGATGCAGTCGTTCTCGTAGAGCGAGCAGAGCTTGCTGCGCAGGTACTCGTGGACGGGGAACGTCTCCACCGGCTTGGTGTCCATCAGCACGTCCCAGACCTTGACTGACAGGTAGTCCCGGGAGATCATGTAGCGGCCGCTGTGGCTGAACCGTACATCCGAGATGGATGAGATGATCTCCGAGAAGAAAGACCGGTTACTGGGGTCCTCGGGCTCCTCAAACACTGTACCCAGAAATGACAGGAAAACGAAGACACAGAAGACAGCGAGTCAACATTGGTGATGGTTTCTGAATAGGTTTTGCAAATCTCAATCTAGTCTCGGCCTCTGTCTCTGATATCAGAAACACTTGTGTGATCTGCTCAAGGAAAAGGTTATAAGTCGCACTGTGCCTTTCCATGAAATGGCCAGCTCAAAGTTGAGAGAGTGACATTTCTTGAGGAATTTTAATGGTTGTTTTTGTAAGAAGTAGCACCTTTGATCTGTGAAGCTTCAGATTCATGAATAGAAACATTTGACAGAAACATGCTGAGCATGCACGGGGAAATTTAAGGTGCCAAGAACAAAGGCAGATCAGAGTGAGAGGAGATTTTGTTTTCTGAGCTGAATTTTCTTCCCCAATGTTTTATATGCAGCTTGTTTCTCATTTAAGCTAAAACAGAAAACAATGCGCACAATATATCATTTACCTCATGAGAATTTTATTTTTATTTTGACTGGAGCTGAACTGTTTTCATTTATTTATTTATTACAAACAAATGTGGAAGTACAACATGTAGATCAGAAAATCTGAGTGGGAAGCACAGAACACAAGCGCAAAACACGAAGCATTAGAAGTCCTAAGATACAAACATATCTCTACTCACTTTTTGCACTTTGGTCGCATAACGCCGCCTGCCTCATGTCACATAACCTGATGCTGCCTTTACTACTGCTATAAACAAATACATTACACTCCCTAGGATGAAACTCAGCCGCTGTGATGACCTCCGTCAGCTCCTCCATATTGGCTGGCTTAATATCAACAATATCTGAGCAGCGAGAAGAGTTAAGGAAATGACATAAGTGCGGGGTGTGCTTCGTCATTGTGAGTGGAAGGCTACATGTATAATTGCATGATTATTTTAGGGGGGACGGGTATGTTTTGCACTCGTCTCCGAGGCCAAGGGCACGGCAGAATGAAGCACGAGAGAAAATCTTACCAACTGAGCAGTGGCCTACATGTAGATACTTTCCTCGTGCACCACTTATTGTTGATCACACATTAAAGGGTAGTCTTGGTCAAGACGTTGTGTTGTAGATACGTGACAGGGCGCTCACAAGGCGAATAGCGGGAATGCACGAACCACAACTGGCCACGCCAGCATCGCCCCCCCATAAACTATGGGGAAACCCACTGCACATGCATTAATTACGAATGCAGGTGCTTACCATTTTCTGTTCATGCAGGCGCATAACACCTTGAATAGCCACAATGAAGTAGGACAATAGTCAGGTACAATCTTGCACGGCCCTGGTTGAAAGTTTGTGTTAGACTGCGAGTGTATGTTACATGTACATGTACTTGCCACCGCTGGCCGGCCGGTTGACGGTCCAACGCGAACAGACAGTCACATTATCATGTCGGCTAAGTTTTTGGACCCAGACTCTGCCTGACAGCATGGACCACGGTGGTGTATGATTTGTAATAAGGGGTTAATTGTACATCAAATAAATGTACACTCACGTAAAAACAGGAGTTAGGGGAATAGACAGATCACGCATGAGGCATTTTTCAAGTGTGATACATATTCAGTGAGACAATTCAGCACGCATCATGTATTATGCTAATTATGTGCCCACACATGATACAGATTTGACAAACTTCCCAAGTGTACCAACAACACTAAACGTCTTGACCAAGACTACATAAAGGGTTGTAAGGTGTGCACAAAGACAATGCACTGCACTGCAATGCAATGATAATGTCAGGTGCAGTGGAAAGATTCCCATTGGCCCTGCAATGCATCAATGGTGCAGTGAAACTTGAACAGCTTGTGCATCTTCGAGGCTTCAACAGTTGGCAGTAGTGCCACAATGGACAGGGGCCACAGTGGGCTGGTGGCCACCTCAGAGAGGTACATGAAGCCACAGTAGACTCGCAGCCACATCAGACGGGATGCCACACTGGATGGAAATCCACGTTAGACTGGTGGTCTAATCAAACCGGTGGCCACATTAGACATGTTGCCACACGGGAGTGATTGCTCCATAACACTGGTAGCCAAATGAAGCAGGAGGCCAAAATAGTGAGGCCACTGAGGGGGTTGACCACATGAGACAAGTCGCCGCCATCAGACGGTTGTCCACAATGAAAAGGTGGCCCCCCCCCCCGGCTGGCAGGTGACCACAACAGACAAGTGGCTGTAGTGGACAAGTGAAAAAATGGATAAGAAGGCTACAAACAATGGATAACCACAACTGACTAGAAAAATCTGCATGGTTACTAGGGCTACATACCATTGACCCCCCCCAAAAAAAAAATTGACGGTGCCGCAGAACCTACAAAGTACATACAGTCATTCATTTTCCCCATTTTTTTTTTTAAATTGAAAAATATTCACCTTCCACAGTTCAGGTGAAAACAGGAATTACAAATTATGTATTGCAGACATAATAAGCCTCAATTAATGTGTCACAAGCAATGAGGTCTGACCAACAACCAAAATGCTATTCTCAGCTGGTCCACACAAGCTGAGATTTCTGGGCGCTGAAAATGGACACCAGTAAAACGCTAAATGAGAAAGGGACATCTTCAAATAACCCGAGGAAGATGAGACCTGAAAAGACCGAGGCAATGAGCCAACCTCAGTGATAATCAAAGCCATCCTACGCAACCTCCTAAATGCCAGGCTGTCAGGAAATGAACATCAACAGCACATGACAGTGGGGCGCTGCCTGCCTTTATCCTTAAAGGAACTGCCGTGTCATGGTGGGGGGGGGATGCCAGAAAGGCTGCAGACTACTATCAGGGGGAAGGAAAGGAAAATAGCATTTCATTCTCTGAAAAAAAAAAATCCCGAAACAACTGCTATTAAAATTGAGTCAATATGGTTAATTAAATTAAATTGAATATTAAAGTGTGCTAAATTGCCCCAAAAGCAGAAACACAATATTTTTACAAAAAAAATTTGAAGCAATATTAACTTTGGGACATTTATTGGTCATATACACTCACCTGCCTTTAAGTATACTCCCAACATCTTGAATATGCTTTAAGAATGCAATTGTATGACCAAACAGCTGTATTCTTCCCTTCTCAGTTCCACTGATTTTAACCTCCGAATACATGTATTGGTTTTTGAAAACAGGAATTCAAATATTTGTTAAAGGATCAACATATCTTAAGAAATGAAGAATTGGCACAGCCCTAACAGTCACACTTCTGATCTGATCTTTCAGATTTCCAGTGAGCTCTGAAAAGTTCAAAATTATCTCCACTTGTTTCTAATGGCAATATCCCCATGTGTTGTTTCATTCAGTTTTGATTTTCACCAATGTAATGTTAAAGACCCTGGGCCCAATCTAGCATCAACAATTTTAACTTCATAATAATTCCTAAAGTTGAACAGAATTTCTCACATTGAAACCTCATCTGGATACAAACCAAGGATCATGTTTGTCTCAAATGTCGGTTAGAACTGGTGCTTCAAAGACTCTAGACCTTATTCACGGGGAAGCCATTTTGATGGTGTTCCCTGCATCTATTATATTCACTGAAATCTGGAAAATGGGGGCAGTGCCAGACTACTTTGGGTTCCAAACCTCACTTTCAGTTTTTGTTTAAAATCTGGTTTAAAACGTTCAGATATAATTCAGCACAAAGTTTACATTATTCAAAATGTAAAATTGGCGTTAATTTGTAATCAACTTTTGCTGTAATTGTTACTCCCAGGTTCCAAAAAATGAAAAGTTAACCTAACTTTCAATTCAAGATGGCCAACAGGTGAACACTGTCTGTTAAAAGCAATTGATAAATTTAAGAAAATCCTCTTCCCTATGAAACTCGGTAACTATTTTAAACTTACAAGATTTAAACAAGCTAAATTCACCTTTGGATTTTTGTGTTAATCTGCAATCTCAGGTTCCAAAAACTGAAAAGAGAACCTAATTTTCAATTCAAGATGGCAAACTGATGAACAGTCTATTAAAAGCAATTGATAAATTTGAGCAAATCCTCTTCCCCTTTGAAACTCAGTAAATATTTTAAACTTACAAGACTTAAACAAGCTAAATTCCTCTTTGGATTTTTGTGTTCATCTGCAATTAGACATGCACAAACAAAAACGGGAAAAAAGACAAATCTGGCTAGCATGACATTAAATTATGCCTGGGGCCTCCATTAAACAGACAAATGTGCATCTTCAGAGGAAAGATTTCAAAATCGGCATAAAAAAGACACAAACAAACCCACCAGGCAAACTGAGGTTGGCTTAACAAGCAGCAAATTCAATTCTGTCCAATGTCTTCGCTTCGCTGCCTTTGTGTGGCATTTCAATAGAAGTAATCCTCTGGGAGAAAGATGCATAGGCCGAGGGATGTACGCTGCCTTGTGTCTTTTCTTTTCTTCATTTTTTCCCCTTCTTTTTGGCTCTAAAGCTGTCACAGCACGCAGTGTTAAAGGCGATGAACTGGACATGGGTGTGAGACGCTATACTTCACAGATGCATTAGAGAAACCGAATCTAATATAAATGCGGCTAAATGGGTTTCCTAAATAGTGCAATAGAAATCACACTTTTACAGAATTGAACTGAGCACACCTTGTGTGATCCAAAAAATGAAAAAGTGAAAGTGAAAACTGATCTTTGAGTATCTAAAATAAAGGCCAAAGAGCATTGCTTGACATGGAGTCAAATGTGTTTTCCCCCAAATTGAGAGACGTTGATGAAACCCCAACGGGCATGACTGTTCGTGATGTAAGTCATGCGACTACTGTGTAAGAAAGAGATAAATTTTTGAACAGGAAAGAAGGAAATACGCAGATCAAATGAAAAGTGCAAGACCTAAAAAAAAAAAAAGAAAAAAAAAAAAGAAGAGAAACAAAAAAGAATTTGTCAATGACACTGGCTGTCAATAGACGGGCAGACAGACTCTGAAAATAGCCAGTGTTTTGTTGGGCACAAATGGATGTATCCCTTGCTGTCAGCTTCCAAGAGTGCGCAGAACAAATATCAATGAAATGTCATTTCTCCTGTATTGACTTGGGCATTCAGAATAGAAAAGACAGACCAGGAATTTTTGAGTGAGTGCTGTTATGGTGGGGGAGGGGTGGTGTTTAGGGCAAGGCAAAAGAACACCTGTTCAAAAATTCACTTACTGAGAGGATCTTATCCGATTCTATTCAAGATGTTGCCCTTTTTGGCACACAGAATGCACGATGACTCACATATTTAATGCCGATATTGAGCAGGAAAGTGCACATTCATTTTCTGTTCCGGGCTGAGGGAAACCTAACACTTATGCCGGTGCTCATTTTAAGGAAGAAAAATTCGTTCAGGTGAAATTTATCCAGCGGAGCCATGTAAGTATTTAGTCGAACTCTGAAATGTTAAAAGCATCAATCCTATGGAAAGAAAAAACCCAAACTGTTAAATAAAGAGAGGGGATAGGACACTTCCAAGTTTGTCTTGTAAAGAGTGAATTTGGCTTTTGTCTGATCACGAGGGAATCAGTATGCTGTAGCAAAAATGACTAACTGAAAAAAAAAAAAAAAGATCTAAACCAACCGTATAAGGAAACCGATGAAGTGCTTACACGGCATTTATAAACATGAATATTAAAAGAAATTCACTGGAATGGGAATTGCACCTGTGACCTTTGGAACACCGTACCAGCACGGTACCAACTGAGCTATCCAGCTCTGCATTGACGGGTCCCTTCATTTGTCAATATCATTGTCCGGAGGAGGAAGGGAAAGGATATGTTCCTAGGAAGTCATTACACCTGTAATACCATAGAACCAGGGATCACACTCCGAAGTCATGACGCAAACAACACTAATGATATTGCAAATCTGGGAAGTGGCACTGGGGACCACTCACAGAGGATACAGGTTTTGAGAGAGAAAAAAAACCAAAACACAGAAAAATATATACATAAGGATACTAAAACTCTGGTCTGTGATTCCTAGATGCCATAGGTTGATTCTGAGGTCGTCGGCGGAGATATAGGTCTCCCCATCGCTGTTGATTGATATCGAGTTTATGTGGTACGTGTGCGCATTAGAAAATACTCTCCTGTAGAGAAGATAAATGAACCAAAATGAAGGGTAAAACACTGGGTAGTTTCCAAACTAAAGGGTTAAAAAACAAAGGAAAGATGGGACCAAATTGTACAAATTGGGAATCTTAACTTTAAAGGGATTTCTTTTCTTGCAAGGTTAACAGGCCTGTTTCACGGTACAGTGCATGATCACAGAGAGGCCAATTTGGCAGTGCATTGTGGGAACACATTGACATAATTAAATGATAAATAGTACCTTCTGCGCTCACTGGATTGAGGTCGGAGCTTTGGGTAAGGGAACACAAATGAGTTTATAAAAGGCTTTACGGGAAAGATGTTTGGGACTGCTGGGGTCACAGCAGGCACGGACTTCCTCAAGAAACCGGTTCTGTGACCAAATTCGTCTTTTTCAGAGAACAGGTGAGCACATTAACCGGAATTAACTGCTAAGGAATGCAAACACAAACGGCTTACCTAGGGCTTGCTTCTACCATTAATTCTATGGGTTGTACTGAGGGCAGGCGTACTGACGTGATTTGGCAGGGGTCGCGTACTGTACCGTCCTCCTCCATCAAATTGGAACCTACCCACTTCTTGTCCCGTTCCGAGACTTTCCAAAGTTTTATTGTTTTGTCTGACCAGGGAAGGGAGGAGAGAGAGGGACAAGGTTTGGTTGCAGTTTTTATAGCTGTAAAGAACGTCTCTCATACGCCATCTGAATTGAAATGTATGGCACAAAATGTCAATACTGAAGAAGCAAAGTAAGATAAAGTTTGATCTAACGAACTGGAACACACAGGGGCAAAAAATTTCAGAAAGTAAGGAATGTGTCAATTTCCGGTTCAGACCTAGAACACTTTTAATCTCAGAAACAGGGCACCGCGGGCTCAGAGAAGAAAGTGGACGACTCACCATTTGTTGAAAGTAGAAAATGCGCGTAGTTTTGGCGGTTCAGCCATTTGATTTTGTTGATCTTCTCTTCTATTTCTAAGCTTTTCAAATAGTCAAACTCGGGCTCATGGCTCTGGAACGTGCTGTACACGTTGTACTCTCCTCTCGGTGGCGTGCAGTTTTTACTCTGCCGGTATGAAACGAGAGAAAGACAAGAGGCTGTCTGGAGACCACCAAAATCTTGGAGACTGCAACTGCACTGGTTTAGAATGGCCACATGTCCACTTTGCGTAAAAACAGGTGCAACATCATTCACATACACACATGTATGTCGCTTAAATGCTGCTTTGTGCGCTGTTTGTGTCACAAGCATGCAACATAAGGTGCGTGTACAACATGTTGGATGCGTCAGTGCGCACCTACATGTAACTACACAGCAACCTCTCAACCTTGTGTCCAGCTGGAGGGTTCACAGTAATGGCAGGTGCATGTACACCTACCTGCATGCACATCAGTGCTTTAATTCGTGTCCGGCATAGTTAGACTTTAAAAACTGGTATAATGACACAAAATGTCTACTGTGATATGCGGCCTATTTTTACCCTCTCAAGGCATCACGACAACTTTGGCTTGGCTTGGTTTTCGGATCTAGGCATAGAAAAAATTTCCTCCCAGCTTCTTCAGTGGTGTGGATGTGTACAATGTGGTTACGCTGTGCATGTACACCAAGAACCATTCCACAAATGACAGCCGTATTGCATTACACTTTCCCATTTATCACAGCGCCGGGTGCACGCACACGCACCTCTTGCATGCACAACATGTCCAGGCACTGGAAACGAGCACACTGACAACGGACTCCCGGTTAAATTAAGCGTGGGATTGACTGGCCGTGCCCGGGTGCCATTTCCAATAGATGTGGTTTGTCTGTCCCTGTGATTTGAAATCATGATTGCAGGGATTGACTGAGGCTGCATCCGAATGTGTTGTCTAGAGCCTACATGTACATGTAGGTCTACGTCTTCACTCCATTGAAAATGTGCGGAGACATGAAGACAATAGACCTAGCTGTAGCTCTGGAATCCTGTTTTGGCCACGGTTTGAACCTCCCCCATTGCATTCCTCCAGGAAGTCCAAAACCTTGCAACCTTGTGCGCTGAAACGGCAGGATGTGCAATGTCTGGGCCATATTGTCTACACAGGAATGCATGAACATGTATTTTCCCATACCGTACACAGCCATGCTCTATTACACAGGTACAAACAAACCAGCCAAATAAACAAAAGAGAGAGTCCAACACAAATGTACAATTAACAATAAACTGAATATACACATAAACCACATTTTAACACCATAATTTACATGAAAAAGCAAAACATCCTGCTAATTGGAATCGTCTACTGTCGACCAAGTGTTAATAATTATGTTAGCCAGAGTTGCATATGTGTGAACATCTGCATCGTCGCACATTATGTCCACCGTTCTTAAATATCAGAGGTGGAAAAGGATGCCTCTCGGTCTGTAACAAAGCCCAGACGGTACGCGCACGGAGCACAGAGAGCTGCCAAGACGGCAGCATGTGTGGGCTCAGGGTTCGCCAGCGCATGTGTCCCCAGAGGTAACCCAATCTCCGCCTACCTGTTCTTCCCGTTGGAATATCACCACGCGACCGCCTTTGTCACCGGTGGCCAGCAGCTCGCCGTCGTGGTTGAACTCTACCGTAGAAATGATATCGGCTGGAGGACGAGGGGGGAGGGAGGGAAGCAATCAGGGAAATAAACATCATGTGACAGATGCAACAGTGATTTGTGTCAGATGTTGCCGAAAGTGCACAAAGGCGAGAGTCGCATTGAAAAATTAGAATCATATATTTTACTTTCAGAGTTGCCAACGACAACTGTCTATCAATACTGGGGCAAGAGGTACATGTACACATCACTTACATACATGTATGTGTAGCTCAAGTGTACGTATGTCATTACATATGTTCAAATCTGCATTTTTAGGGGGCAAATCTTGTTGATTGTTGTTGTCTTGCTGACAGATGATGATCTTACAAAATGAGAAACACAATTGACCTGCTTCCTTAACCCTAACACTCCTCAGTCCTCCAACAGGTGAAGGATTGAGGAGTGTTAGGGTTAAACGTGACTACTGTACACGTAAATAGTAAACACGCAGCCAATTAATAACAAGGGGCAAGTTCACAGACCTGCGCATTAGTCCCTATGGGTAGACCATCAAAGGAGACGTTGTAAAATGCACCTGAAGTCAAGAAACTTTCATATACATGTATGTACACGGAACAATAAAAGTTTCCCATTTGTCAGAGTTCTGCCTTTACACTTACCAAGTTCTATCTAAAGACTCATTGTTAGAACACGTAAACAGTGGAACCGACCTCTATGCAACTTGCCTCCATGCATGCACGCACTCTCTGCATACTTTTAAAGCATCACGAGACCCTTTTTCCCATTCAGCAATGAATCAATTTTTCTAAAGCAATTCCAGTGGCACAATCATGCCGTCCCATGCGATGAAGTGAGGCAACCCAAATCAGATCACCATTTCTGAAATGAGTCACACAGCATGATACCACCAGCACACACCTTACGACGGTCTAATGCGAATGGTCAAACTAAATGAACACGGGACACGTCTGCGACGTTATAACGGGACAGTACTGATGGCTGCTTGACAGGCTGTTGCAAGAGTTGCAGTCTTGCACTGCGCACACCCACGGCATAATCACGAGTCTGAACTACATGTAGGAGATCCTGATACACGGCACATGGATGGTGATTTCAACATGTGTCTGTGGCTGCTTTCTTGAAGGCCAGTAGAGATTATGGCATCAGTGCCTGATGTGCATGTACCTCTGATGACAGCTAGTCACAGTGATTGCATGCTGCATACATGTGTACTTCTGCCAATCCTTCATATCTTTAATTTATAATACGACAAGACACTTTCACGATAAATTTACACTTTGCATTAGATACAGTAAATGCAAATACACGTTCAAGCATAGGCAAGCTTATTCCTAACAGATCTACTGGTAATGGATTTTGTCAAATCTTGCTGACGCCTTCAAAATGGAGCAGGTGATTTGCATGTACATGTAACGCTGATACTGGGACTTGACATACATGTAATCCATTGGACTGCTAAAACTAGTCCAGTCATCCAAGTGCCAATGTCTTTCTTAATCAATACTGAAAGTGAAAACAATGAGGCTGTTATATCAATGAGCAACAAGAGGGGGATGTCGGTGTTTAAAAGCAGCCTGCCTAATTGAAGTCCACAAAATGACTGCAATGTGGGGTGTTTCAATAAAGGGGGACACAGGACGAAAGGAAAAAAACACTTCCAACTACTCGTACTTCCTGATTTGATTACCTAAACGACACGATATGTGACTGCAGATCTAGGCATAGAAAAAATTTCCTCCCGGCTTCTTCAGTGGTGTGGATGTGTACAATGTGGTTACGCTGTGCATGTACACGGTACATGTCTGTTTGTGAAGGCTGACATGGCTTCCTGCACATCCTGCTTCAGTTGTTTTATGAATAAGCAGTGGGAGCGTTCAGTTCAATAGTTTGTCGGCATGAGTGCTTGCTAGTTAATGCTAATAGAGTTGTCAGAGACACCCTTGCTGTAGTGTGGTACTTTAAACACGCTGTGCTAGTTCGTGTACGGGTGTATGAGAAAAATAAACAGGAGAGTGGAAACACTCAACCCTGACCAAAAAGTGTTGCAGTCGAGCCCACAATGTTGCCAACACAAATTAATCACGAGTCAATACACACATACATGTACATGTACCATACTACTCTAGTCACACAAGTCATGGGTTCTGTGTATTAATTTAAACCACTCGATACATACATGTACGTGTAAATACATTGTACTAAATAGAGGCACCCTAACGGACAATTCATGCCTCACTCCTCATGTATAAAAATCATAAGTACATGTACAGTGTGCATGTACAGTGAAGTTATAGGGTACATGTAGGTCTTGCATGCAACAGTCGTTGATCAATATGTTAATGTTAACCATCGACCCACCATTTTATTTGGTAGTGGTGCAACAAAATTCAGAAAGTAAATCTGAGCCTTAAAATGCATGTTAGTGACTGAAAACGTAGCTCTTCATTGAACACATCTGAGGGCCCATTCAGCTATGGTACACCAAGCTTACTAGGCTTCGTTTCATTCAAGAAATATGCAATTAGTCTTCCGTTCTGGTACCGTGGTTTCATCGTTTTGCCATGCAGAACTAGCCTTGTCTTGAGGCATCTGCAGGGCTCAAAATTGGGCTAATCATCACTGGAGCAAGTACATGTACTAGCTCCCTAGACAGCTGAATTTGTCAGTTTACGGGAGCAAGTAGTTCCCATACAATATTAAAGACATATGTTCAAGAAAAATAGGCAAAGACCCTGGTCCTTGCTGTTGCTTTAGTGCTTAGAGACGCAACGCCAACAGTCAGGCACTGGGCCTTTACAACGTGCACATGCACACAGACGTAAAAGGGAGCTAACTGCAGCAATCGAGCATTTTCAAAATGAGTGGATTAGGATGAGACTTTGGTTTCGCTGGTTCCAGCTATTTTGGAGCGTTCAAAACCCCATGTTCAAGCTATGACTAGAACCAGCGAAACTGAAGTCTGAGCCAAACCCACTCGTTTGCCTTGAATTTACGCACGAGTCTAGGAGGTTGTGGTCACGGCCTGTTTCCATACAATCGTGTGTAAATTCCAGTCATACTGATTCCAGACACAGCCACTGTGCAGACCATTCAGCGGTGTGCGCTCGGTGACATCATAAAAAAATGTACTGTATTATGGTTCCGTGACAAGGCTGATCCGAAGTAGTAAAAAGGTTCAGGTATTTTTCACGACAAAAGTAGAAACAAACAGTAAAAATGTTCAGGTACATGTATTTTTCATTACAATAATGAAATCAAACGGGCGAAGGTCTTGCGCCTGTCTTTACGATTTACGGGCGGATTTCTGAGACAAACGGGCACATTTTAGCTACCTGCGCCTGTTAATTTCGAGCCCTGGTCTGCGCCGATTCACTGACTAAATTCCCAATGTGTGCAAAGGGCATATGTGTGAGTATGAACTTGTTTGCGTCTTGATTTCAATGCCAGTATGGTGTGCATGTGAATGGCCAATGTGTGTATTGTACCGCACTGCTGTGCTCTGCCGGCCTACGCAACAAACTTGAAGCTCCCGGACGCCAGAGCGCTTACAAGTATCGGTACCGGCTTGGCGCCGACAACCCAATCATGTGGTGGAGTGTTGCAATTTAGCAGTTTCTAGTATAATTTGTTCATTAAAAGCAAGCATTTTAAAAGAGTTTGGTAGGCATTTATTTATGGTTCTTTGCAGAAAGTTTTCTTTACTTAGTTGGAAATTTTGCAAGTTCCCTTTAAAGCAGTAATTTCCATTTCAAAATGTTGATTCCGCGAATTCCGTCCGTTTTCCACAATCACGGAAAATCATTGGCTCTACACATGTACCGTACATATACAAACTGTGATGACATATATCAACACAAACGTGGAATTTCCACTCAATCTGGCATGTGGTTTTGTTATTGCAGTCGTTTTGAAGGTGAAGGCCACACAGGCGCCAGCTCCCCCCCCATTGAGCACGGTAGTGGAGAGTATACAGTGTATTTGATTTTCACAAATTGAGTGTCAAAATTAAAGAGTTATTGAGAAAACTCCTACTTGACTTGTAAAAGAAAAAGGGCTACGGTGATATCATCAAAAAATGTTGGGGGGGGCAGATTCCACTGCCCCCCTGGCTCTTTTAGGGTTAAATGTTGGGAATATACGTTTATTAAGATGTCTTTAACTTTGTGTGCATCACCTTGAAATACATGCTTTCAGAAAGCAATTTTGGAAATAAATAATTGAATTTTCCTTTGTTTATTTCACTTATTTTGACCTCTAATTAGATTTAATTTCAAAGATAAATAATTTGACCATTTGATAATCGATGGAATATCTAAATACTTGAATTATCGGCACAGCCCTATCTAATTCTGGTCAGTGGATTAGTCTACAGCAATGGGTTCTGCAATCAACACAGTTGATATGATTCTGCATCAGAAGATTTCAATTTTAATATTTGGTTCTAGTAGGTTCTAGTAGTATAATGTAGGCTTACTTCTGAGAAACTGTACTGAGAAGTTTGGGGTCATAGGTAAAATGATTTCTTCCTTTCATTTGTCCCTCCTACACTCTCTTTATTGAAATTGAAGGCATCCAATGCATCGGCAGTTGAATATACGGTACATGTATGCCACTAGCAATAACAGAGGACAGTCTCTACACACATGAAAGTTAACACCCAATTCTTGTGCGAGTAGTTCTTTTTAAAAAAGAGTTTATGACGATTACACAGTGTTTTAGCCAAAGGGGTGTATGGGCATTTTGAGGGCTTTTCACGCTACAGCAACTCAAACCGGAGTTGGGCAAACCCATGATGGCCCAGGGTTGAAAATTTGGTTTTTCAACCTCCGTTCAACCTAGCATTGCTTCACTTTTGCTTCATGCAAAGCAAGCTCACTGGGGCAACTTTAACCCGGAAATGAGCACAAATGATTTTCAACCCAGGTTGAAAAATCTCAACCCTAATCCAGAATAGTAGGGTTGAGTTCAAACCGGGTTGAAGTCCAATCTTGGGGCTGACGGTGGGTTGATGCGGAGTTGGAAATTTTCAAGTGTGAATTGTCACCCGTTTTCAACCCAGCGATTTGTCTAGTGCGAGGAGGCCTATGGACACCGTACAGGCCATTCTGGGCATTTTTTGTTCTCACTGATGCATATGGCATGTTCTTCATAAAAAGGACCACAATGCAACTCTGCATGTCATTTTTTAAAACGTCTAAAAGAGTGACTTCAATCATGTAAAACACAAATTAGTAACTTCAGATTTACAAAAATGATTAATTGGGGATAATTTGGCATACTGAGTACATTTGGTTGTCTACCACTGCAAATCAAATGGAGTTGCATTCATTTAAAGTTTTATGTGAAAGTGTTTGCACCAGAGGACTTGATTTCAAAACTTCTCTCAACAACTTGAACAAGGAGAATGAATTCAGTATATTTTTTAACTGATGTATTTTAAAGCACCTAAGAAAGAACTTGAAAACAATACATTTATGAGCCGTGGAAAAAAGAGCACAAAATTGACAGAAAATGATGAGAAAAGTTTGGCTGTCTTCATTCTCTTACCATTTACAATCACTCTCACTATACCATCACATCGGCCAGGTCTTATACCTTTCAACCACCAAAAATAATGGCTGCATCAAAAGTGTACAATGCATACAATATCTTCGTTGCGAACGTCATATTTGATGGAATTTTGATGACGTTTGAGAATTTTGACAGAAAATGCATGACGTTCAACAATGCCGAAAACGCTATCACATGTAGTGCATGACAATTTCATGCACGATGTTCATTTTGCTACTTATTTTGGAGATATCCCCGCTGAAAATTAAATCAAAATTAACAACTCTGAGCATTAGATTTTCATGAGGAACCGTATTTTATGTCTCGGAAGTCAGTTTTTTAGGAATGTCTTTCAGTTTGACAGATTTTCTTGAGAGAAACCTTGGTGCGAAGAGAAAAATCCTGGCGCATTGCCTTTCCGAGAAGGGGCCCATGAATATTGAATAATAAAGCCAGTGCACCATTTGGGTTGATGCCAATCGATCTTTCCAGCGGCCACCAACAAGAACAGTTCCAACATGGCCTTGGTGCCCTTTCTTTGGCCTTGGTATCCTTTGATTTTTGGGCGCCTTCAAGGCCAAGTGGCCTTGACCCTCTGAAGCTGAAGGTTGAAGCCTAGACCTTGTGTTCTTTATGCTCAGAAAGCAAAAATTTTGTAGCTCTACAAGAGGCCAGGGTTAACAGAGACATTCAGGTTTGTCCATGTACACCTTCTGCTTAAAATTGGCCAAGCTCAATTTCCCACTTGCAGTGTCCAGTACTCACTGGCGGAGCACAAAAAACCATTTACACATCTGCACCAACCCATGTATCACACATGACAACAGACCTACATGTGATGAGGGATATGACACTTACCGTCAGTAACGTCTTCCTCCACGGTCCCTTTAACCTGTGAGAAGCACCACTGCACCTCGCCGCTTCCTGTAAAGGTGCAAGAAATACGAATTGAAATGTGTCACACAGACGCAGATCTCACCAACTGGCAACCGCTACGCTTTGAATGAGAATAAGTACTGTCCTAGGACGGCATTTTACTGTGAAGCCTGCAGAGGTGCACTGCAGTTAGCCAGCTGACAGATAACTGCATTTATAAGGAAATGCCTTGCGAAGAAGTTGTATCAACCTCAGTCTTTTAGATGTTGCGTTCATCAGGTTAGCCCTTTCTCCCCATTCATTTTGTTTATGAGTAGTGTCTTCGTCCTCCTGAATTGCCCACTATGCAGGAAATCAATGGCACACTTTTGGGGATGTAACTTTACCAGAAGTATCAAAGTATAAAGAAAAATAGCGGTGCCTAAAGCTCTACCTTCCTTAACCCCGCAATATACATGTACTCTGAAAGCTCCTCATGGATCTTGAGGGATTTTGGAGGTTAGGATAAATCTGAGGAATGACCCAGGTTGGTATTCTGAAAGCTGCTCATCAAAATGAAGTACTTTGTAGGCTATTTGGGGATAGTCACTTGCGCAAGGGTTCTGTCCAATGGTTGCAATGGTATTCCAACTCACATGCACTGAGCATGCTCGAGCCAGTGTAACATCAGGTGTTCTTATCCCAGATGACCTTACATGTACTTCATTGAAACAACTTTGAGCCAGTTTAGCACATTATCCGCACAGCCATGTGGCAGTTCACACGCATGCAACGTTCCTGAAAGATCTTGTCTTTCTGAAATATCGAGCTGGCTCACTGATGAAAATTAATCCAACATTTCTTGTATCACTGCCGTGACAATGATGCAGAAGTTGAATGCTGGAAAAGCAGAAAAAATCTTGATAGGTAATAATGTAACCTACATAGCAATGCCACTGTCTAAATATTTTTCACTGCTGCTTTATGTGCATACACAGCAGTATTAGTGTGCTTCTAAGAGTGACTGAAAAGCCTGCAGGTACACAAATACCAATTCTGACCTTACATGTACATGTACATGTGCAGATTTCCTTCACGTACAAAATGAACAGGATTAACCGTAACACTCCTCAATCCTTCATCTGTTGGAGGACTGAGGAGTGTTAGGGTTAAGGAAAAAATCTTATGAAAAATAACAGAGACCTTGACAGGCAGCATCTATGTAGAGTAGGCTTACTGATATGCCTTCACGTACAAAATGAGCAGAATTAAGGAAAAAATCTTATGAAAAATAACAGAGACCTTGACAGGCAGTATCTATGTATACATGTAGTAGGCTTACTGATATGCCGGCAGGTTAAGATCCAATTGCCTATGTGTCCCATTTCACAAAAGGTTCGGTCAATAACGAGCTGACAGCAGGCCCCAGATGATAACATTTGCTGGTACTTGTCTCACATGCTCATCCAGATCCTCACTACAGAAGGTCAGAGGTCAAAGATAAACCCTCCAAGATCGAGGGAAGAGCCCTTGACTTCGACTTCCAAGAGGAGGGGGATCTAGCTGGATATCAATGAGTGCAACTTTTAACCAAATTTGTTTTCATTCAAATACAAATCCAATTAAAATCACTTATTCAAATTCCTTAGTTCCTCAATATGTCTTGCTGCCTGAGGTCATCAAAATCTGATCAAAATTTGAGGTATTTTACCTTAAATTTTCAACAGTTTTCAGCAAACATACAAGATGTACATGTATAGCAAATGTTGTTATTCATCCAATTTGTTGAAGTGCAATTTCTATAGGAGAGAAAAAGTGTGAAACAAAACTGTTTCCTGGCTGAACCAGGAAATCAGACATTGAGCCCAGAAATTCAGGTCTCTGAAAGTTTTGAAACTATCATTGATTACCTGTGGTTATTTGCATGACCTACATGTACCTTAAGATCAAATACAGGTATTGATAATCAGTCAAAGAACTTGGGACAGCACGTGTATATGAATGCTTTTGTCATAAATTAAGGCTAAAAAACAATGTTAGTTGTGCCTCCCGTTTCCTTAAATACCCAATGTGACAATGCACATTGAATCATAAAGTTTTGGGGGAATACTTTGGGAAAATGTGAATTTGGATATGAAAAAGAAAAGTATCGATTGGCTTGGGCGGTATTTCAGTATGACCGAATACCGCGGTTTTGTTTTTAATACCGAACAATATTGACTAACAATCCACGAATACCGGAATACCGACTAATTTGGTATTGAATTTCAATACCGCGGTTTTCTGGCTAATTTGTTCAGAATGTTCCCACAACCCTCATAAGATGAAAGCAGACAATTATATCCACAACAGTGACTACATACTTTGTGGTTTCAGTCATCCAGCATCACGTTTGTATTGTCTCTTTTGGTGAAGAGATAAGATGTAACGTGATACTTCAGCATGCAGCCATCAACCTGCCTGTCAAAAGGTTTTGTTTCCCTATCGCCGCCGTCAAGTTTGCGATTTTGGAATAGCTTGTAGGCAGTGCTTCTTGTATTACTCGTTGGCACATGTATACACGTACATGCATCACAGCCCTACAGGTTGGGAATTAAAAATCAGCTGGTCTTCCGTGTCCGCACTGGACTTTATTTTCCGAAGATTTTTATTAGCAGATCAGAAAATGCGAATGCTGCTTGTGCTAGCCTTATTGCTCTCTTTGGGTCTTTTTTTGTCCTTTATATACAACATGTACAAGTATTGTGTGAAAATCTATCTAACTGAAGCCAGGAATGTGTGTTATAAACTATAAAATGATGCCATAAATCTGTATCTGTTTGACATCCACGGCAATCAACGATCTTTTTTATTGTTCTCACAATCGTTCCAACCACACGAAAAGAGAAGCAAAAACCTGATTCCTCACTTGTCACTGCTTGTGTTTCAGTTTTTCCGGATTATAAAATTAGGACAACGTGGTTGATCAAAAAGATCTCTCGGTTATGATTAATCAAAATACCTTGTGATGTGTTTAGAATAATAAACTTCACTGTCGTACGACAACATGTTTAATGTGCATGTGAAATTTAAAAACGCAAATACATGTGAAAGCATCGATCCAGGGATTTTTAAAAGGCTTTCAATCACCATGGATGACGATGAAGCCAACAGTAACTAACCTGAATGCACATGTAGGCCTGGATGTACCTGCAAGAATGTGAAGGCTCATCAACTAAAGCCCCAATCCATGTAAGTAGTCTTTCCACCACAAATTGTGTCACATAGAGACATTTTTTGTTTAATATTTCGCCTCTCTTTTGATTTTTGACACAAGCTGCATGACACGATTGATTGGTAGTCCCAGATCACTCGCCCACTGTGGCGCAGTCGCCCGCGCGCAAGATGGTCGCTGAAGAAGCACAATGTCGTGAACGAGTACTGCGATTGGATAGCTGTGTCTTGCCAAAGGTACGTCATGAAAGCGCACAGTCTCATTGGCGGGCACGCTAGATCTCTTTGCAGCAATATGAATAATTCGGTGTTGGCGATTAGTTGGACTCTTGAGATACGAGAATAGTCATGCGAACTTATTTGGGGCGTATTTTATCGGAAATGGGATGGGAATTTTTGTTGAATGTAAAATATCATAGATTTTTTAATCGTGCATTATGCGCGTCATGACGACAGGAATCTGGCAACCGATGTCTGTATAGCACGTTGTAAGCGTGCGTGCGATAAGCCTTGTGTTGCACAACTGGAAATTTTTTGGAAGCACGCTCGCTTGAGTACAAGCAGTACAACCTCAAATTACATTCATGAACACAGAAAACACAGACATAGACATGAGATCCTTTTTTGTGAATGAACCTGCAGAAAAATTTGTGACAGCAGTGTTTTTCGTCTTGCAACTATAGAGCTGCATTCGATGTAGTGGAACGTACGACCCTTTTTTGGCAGAACCTGTACTCAATGTACAGGTTCTGCCGCATTTCCATCATGCCTTCATTGGCAACGGTTTGGCCCGGCGGGAACCAGTGTGGTGCACCACACACGTTTTCACCACCGCGATTCGCAAACGCTTTATGAATGGGTCGTCAAGAATGGTTTTTCAGGCAACGGAATCACGAAAACCTTTTGTTGTACCAGGAATTTTGTACAATGCTATTTCGCTTTAACATATTTTTCCCCATTGAAATATGCACGTTTTCACCGGGACCACAGATTTGTGCTTGTTGTGATTGGAATTTTGTTACAACCGATTTCGTAATAAGAGTCGACTGCCGCGTCGCACAGTTTTCTGAAAGCCACCTTACCATTGCACACGCGCAGTGTTAGGGCGCAGCTAAAAGGAGCAGCCACTGGTGACCCGCACGTAATCATTACAATAACATACCGTCTCAGCGAGTACCAACTTGACTGCAGCACATTTTGACACCGTACGCACATGGAGGAATAAAACACGTATGAGTAACAACACAGATATACATATAGGAATCACTGAGCAACAAATCGGTATTTAAAACACCGTCCCTTTTTAAAAAAAATTTTTCACATGAATAATTTTTATTTGACATCAAATGGACGGATAAATTATAATAGTTATTAAGTTTAGGGGGTTTTGTGATGTTAAAAACCCTTTATGCTGGCCCCTAGTGTTGTTTGTGGTTGGCCTTTGAATGCCAGCAACGCCGCTGCTTTTTGATGACGTCATTGCCTTCTGCAACGAATACCGCGGTATTAGTAAGTACCGCGGTATTTTTTTCATGGATACCGCGGTATCGAAAAAGGCAATACAGCTCAAGCCTAGGTGTCGATTAAAGTTTGAACGTAGTACCGAAAAGTCCATGCATGCAACCTGTGTCCAGTCCTCCTACAACTCATACACAGTTTTACATACACCCCAGGAAGTCAAGGTTAAAGTGTTTGTCCATTTCATCTAAAACAATGCCATCGGACCTCTCTTACTGTTGAAAAACAGCATGATTAAATTTCTGGAAATATGATTTAATTGAAAAAAAAAAAACACTAACACAGACAAATTTCTTTCAACTGCTATATAAACAAACATGAACACATTTCTTTCAACTGCTATATACATGTACTTTTTACTTTTTTTTTTTGAGGGGGGTAGTTTTTCTGCCCTTAGATACAAAAGTCTGCACATAACAGAGCATGCCTTCCACTGAATGCACTGTAGGTTGATCTCTTGAAAGGTCCACTGTGAGCCAAGTGTGAAGGTGTTAAAAACCTCGTCTGTTAAAATACCCCATGAGGAAAACGTCATGAGGTGGCTTCTCTGTCCTCACAATGTTCCTGCAATTCCTGATGGCAAGGAGTCTGCGAGTTGCTGCACTCTTATGCCCATCATCATCCCATCATGGCATCCATGATGTCCAGAACAGACTCACGCTTAGTAATTCATTTCGCAAACTGTCCCTGGAAGGTTTTTTACAAACCATACTTGATCGGCGATCATTTATCAATTGCCATTCTGGAAGTTACACGTATGGCTTTAGCAGAAGAGTTCTGTATCTCGCCATCCTGCATACTCGCCACCAAACAATAAATTCCACCTAACTTTGGATTTGCATTAAAGACAACTCCTAGCATGGGGGAAACCCTTTCTAAAGTTTGCCGTCTTTACAGAACCTATGGTGACGGTGGCCAATAGGGGACCGGTTTGGGAGACACAGCTGACTGCTGGGCACTCCTGCCTGGTGACAAAATTACCCAACAGTTGACAGACAGTCGCTGACCGTGTGAACAGAACTGGCTGAATTTCCATTGATTTTTAGTCTCCAACAAATTACCACAAGTGCCAGTCAAGTTGACGTAATGCACACTTGACAGATGGATAAGACAGACAGGCATTCAAAACTTATGTGTATTAAGTTTATCAAGTCTGTGTTAGTCATTTTGGCATTTGTTTGGTTGAAGTTTGACGAGAGTTCATGGTGAAGTCTAAGCTGCAACCACCCATTCACTACAGAGCAAGTTTGACTGACCCAAGTTAGAACTTGAAAACAACGGGTACTGTACCCAGGTAAATACAGCTGACTCCTGTTAAAACGAGGGTATTGGGATTTAACCCTAACCATCCCAAATCCTTCAAAATCCTCTGGGCGATTTTGGAGGATTGAGGCTGCATGGCAAAATTGCATTGCCGATTGCAATGGATACATTGTCTCAAGGTTGTGGATTAGACGTAATGTTGTTTTATTCAGCCATGCGTAAATTCAAACACACAAAGATATGTGAAATCCTCCATACTGCTCCAGGATATTATTCACACTGCCTCAACGTAATGAGGAATTGCTGGAGGATTTTGGAGGACTGAGGCAGTGGGCAACCCTAGACAGAACGTATGCAAGAAATATCGGAGGATTTTGGATGATTGAGGCTGTACCCAATTGTTTTCATAAGGGCAGTTGGAGGACTTTGAAGGATCAAGGGCATATCCTCTGAAAAGTGCCCAGGCAGCTAGGGTTAAGGCAAAAGTGATACCAGAGCAGATGCAAGCATCCCATGTTGCCTGGCTGTTTTGTGTCACATCGCCCTTGGCTAGTTCCCTGTCCCGTCAAATACCGCTTGCGGCGAATCATTAAACATGTAGCGCAGCTTGATCTCTGTGACATGACATGAAAGAGCCATCAGTTTTGTGCAAGTTGGGCCAAAATTCGTCCGGAGTGGGGAAAATGCCAACTAAAGGCAACATTTCTTCCCCCAAACGAGGAAAGGTGAGTTTTCCACAAAAAGCAACCTGGGGGATGGTTAGCCCTAAGTGTAAGTTGTGAACATACTGGTGCAATTTCAGCTCATAAGACCCAGTCCCCCCAGAACTGTGGGGTCTGATATCCGCCCCACTCCCATGAACCAAAGGCTCTACATGACATTTAAACGGGTACGAACACGGATTTTATTCTAGTTGTGTACCCACAGAAATGCTGCTCCATTTCCCTCAAGAGTTCTACATGTATGTATGGTAGACTACATATCTTTGTACTTTGTACCAAGAAAAAAAGGGCTAAAACCATGTCAATTTTCAAAAAAAGGTGCAAATATTTCCCGATCACCGTCTCAGAGTCATGCGGTTCACATGTGTACTTTGCAAAGACGAGCCACAACCAAATGGTTGACTATGGCTGCAACTGATACACAGGACGTGTGTGTGTAATTCTTAGGTGCGACTGGACTGAATGGTTGAAATGGCAGTTGGCTGCGGCGAGCTGGGGGTCACATTGACCAATCACAGGGCTCCCCATTATTTATGCTCGAATTGTAGGAACGACAAGTAACAGCTGCTGGGTACCAGTGCACATGAGCGTGCTGTCGCACCTCGAACACTTTCTCTTGACGCCACACGTGGATGCGGACAGGCAGCGATCTTTGTCCGCATCCACGAGCGGCCTCAACAGAAAGTAGATATCGAAAGAAATCACTTATTAATCGCTACGGTGCCCAGTATATCGACGAAGGAGCATATGGGATTATGTAGGCCCTGTTTACGGGTCTTAACTAACATTAGGATTGAAAGAAGCAGTTACAGTTTTAGAGGTAGGGCCTAGGCCTAGGAGGAAAACCCCAAAGAAATTCTGAGTCAGGTAGGGACTGAAAACACAATCCAGATTTGGACCGAGCAATGCCAAGGCAGGAATCGAACCTGGACTGTCAAGGTGGAACGTGTGGAAAGCGAGGCACTAAGCTAACCTGACTCCCCAATATTGGCAATAATATGAAGGTATTCAATGTAGCCCTCACAATTTAGAATTGCCAGCAACCATGGAACAATCATTCTTCCGTACTAACATTAGTTCACCGTGTACTCATGACTGAATCAAACTGATTAGGCCTAGGCCTCCTTGTGCAGTGTGTAGCATAGGCAGGCATGTACATGTACAGTGTAGAGTAGGCCCTCTCGGTCCATGTACAAAACTGTACATGTACAGTATGTGTAGGTATACACAACCCCAGCAGGGTGTTTCATTAACTCCATATCTAAAAGGAATTTGCACTTACCGGCCATGGTGCGTTGGTATAAAAATATTCAGGGCAGACTTATTATGGTCTGGACTAGCTCAAATCCCAATGAAACCAGCATAAAACCTTGTGATGGACAGGATATGCCAGAGATTGATCAGGACACATTAACGCCGTCGACCATTTCAAAATGGCGAATTTCTCCTAATCTTCATTGACTGACGTCATTCGTATCCTCGTCCCATGCACATTAAATTTGGGTTGCAATGGCGGGGCTTTTTGATTTACTATTTTTGGAAGAGAAAGCATAAAATCCATTCGGAGCACATATAAAATTTGTCATGACCAATAACACAGTGGCGTAGTCAGGATTCGGGGGGGGCGGGGGGCTTCAGGCTAAAGCTGGGGGGGGGGCTGACTGGATGTTGGACATAATCATGTACATATTCTTGATTACATCAAAATATGCTCGTGAACATCGTTTCTGGAATGCAAGTGGGGGGGCACTGTATGGGGGGCGACGATTTTTCATGGGGGACGTGCGTCCCCCCCCCAGCCACGCCCCTGCATGAACAATAACTGTGTGAATGGATCCGAGGAAGAAAATCTACAACTTCCATAAACGACTAAAAATCATCAGGAATTGATTGCAATTAACAGCCAGCCACTGTACACGGCCTAAGTAAAAGAGCCTGTGCTGTACACAGGCTAACCACTGTGGTCTCAGCCGTGAATTTCTAACTCAAAGCAGTTTTAGAAAATGATATTTTCAGTTATTGGCACAATCCAATGACCATGAAGAATTCAGCCATCCCCGAATCCCCAATGCTCATGTTGATACATGCAAGGACATATCAAGGACCTCCGTGACTCGACTCTAGACAATATGGACAAAACGTTGTGAGAATAATAATATTATGCGAGCTTGAGAGACTTGGTCCATTTAATTTTTTTATTCGAAAGTCGGGACCCCCACCGATTTTCAAATTCAGTACTAAGTTGCAGGGGCGGTGAATGGCTTTTACGGGGATTCAATTGGGGTATTTTTTTTAAATGACGCCAAGGTCTTTCATTCGAGGGGGGGCAGGCTGGTATATCCTCTTTCTCCTTTGTTTGGGACAGAGGATCGGCGCAGTTGCATTGAAGTTCCACGCCCAATTCAACACTGCTAATAGTTCAACAATGAAATCGCAGGACCGTTATACCACAATCGCCATCATACACCACCATCCCCCGCAATCGGACGACCCGAATTTAAAGAAATCGTCAATCGTGACATTACCCATATTCATTAAGCGGCGGACCCAGGTGGATCTCTTGGAGTCCACTAGCCGTCTATGGTACTTCGTTAGGGTTCCCTGCAACCCGCCGATGCAACATTCAATCATAGTTGCGCATTGTTTTGGTACTAAGGCGCTACTCTCCCAGCCGCGAGTTTCTGGTCGTTGCTGGATACGCTGGGAAAGTGTCTCACTGGCTTGTGTATATCTTGCCTTTTATCATAAAAAGCCTGTGAATGCGACAAAATGTCTTCCTCGGACAAAATTCTGCTGATGATGGAATGCCAGTTGATGCAGTGACAACAATTAAATGATGCTACCTGTTCATTATCGTCATCTCCAGCAAGTGACGTTGATGTGAGAAGCAATATGTAGGTTACGTACAGGATTTTAGGTCAATTTCCACGAAAATCTGCATTGGAAAGGAAAAACCACAAAAAGTGTTCGTTATTACAAATTCAAACGCCCATTTAATTGCTGACAAAACCTATGCAGACAGTAACTAAATTCAGATAAATATTTTTTTCAAGGAATCTTTCTACAATGTTATTGCTCGGACAGTAACTACAGAGCATTACTATGGACGTCTGTCCTCCCCTCTATAGCAACTCCCCAATTAAAAATTTTGCAGGAAAAATCATAAAAGAGAGACGAAAACTATTGGCTGAAAACGTTCTCAGACTGTCGAACCGATCGAGTCACTGTCGATCATGAATAGACTGGGATGCTTTTCATAAGTTTCGATGATTCTAAATCTAACCGTAAAGGAATGGAGCGCCAAACAACTTGAGGGAAGATTATAATTATTGACAGAAGTCAAATAGACTGCCCAGTTACTGGAGTCTATTAATATTGAGCCCATACAGTTTAACAAAAGTTACAGACGTTATGCGTTGCTGACATCTCCATGGCGTCCCAGAGGCTGTTTTGGTTTTTAATTTAGCTACAACGAATGCATGAAAGGTTTACTCGAGCCTATCCCGACGATACAGAGCTGTTGCCCTCTTTAATTATGCTTTAATTTAACGCATAACCTCTATTGCCAAAGCCGAAGTAGCCTTTTACTGAACTTAAAACTATCCAAAGTGGAGAAACGCTCACTTACCATTGTCCCGCAATGAGACCCTCCTCTGTCTGAAAGGGAAACACCGCCTAGAAAAATTAAAACGAAAACAAGCGCTCGTCTAAGGTATTATGGTTTGCTTTAATAACGACCAACTTTAATGTACGCATACTCATACGTACAGGTGGCTTACATTCATTCTGCCGGCTACGTAAGCTTCCAAATTATTGACCGCGATCCATTATAATTATGAAATCTACATCCCTAGACCGGCAGGTTTATTTTTAAAACCTGTTTCTTCTATATGTGTGTGTGTGTGTGGTCGATGAGTCAAAGACGTCACGGGGGAGGGGCACATTCGACCCGTCATTACCGCGTGATATCAGAGGCCGGGTGCTGGGGGTGGGATAAAACTGTCCTTCCCCTCGGTGCCGGCGGGCGGCTGGCAGGACAGAGTCGATGAGACACTCCGATTTCACGGTGTGTATAGTGCAAGAGGTGCCAGGATACTACGAATGATTCCAAATAACCAAATTTGGGAGCATGCTTTGAAGGAGTTACAAACTATTACTGTAGGTAAAACATGACTTAAGTCCGTACTGAATTGTGCTTGCTTCACAGCATGGCAAATTCTTACTTGAATGGGTGTTTCCTGAGCGGTATCCATGATGAAGTGCACTGACTTTTCTGTTACGGACCCCTTTCGCCCTGGTACGCACCTGTGCTCGTACCCTTCTCAAAGCCTATTTAATGCAGTATGAGACATCATTTGTTATTTAAAAATAGTTTATGCCAGCTGTTACTCTTATATTTAGACTGTTTCAAGTGCGTACGGGGTTTAAAGCAGCACATTCGCTTGGTTTCTCAATGAGAGCATGGATGAAAAAACATACACTCCTCCACGACAGGTACAAACGCCTCGCAGGTCCAATCAACAGAAATCCCATTACACACAAAACTGTTTATGTAAGGTCTGGCAGTGAGCCTCGATCAAGCAGCTTGCGCGGTTAACACTCTCGAAGCTATTTTTCTTGTGGATAATCGATCTGAAGGTTCATAGGCCTACACTCAGCTACAGATGAGCTGATATTATGCCTGATTAATTGAATACAGAGAGAATGTCAAATGTTCTCCACTGCATGTCAGGAGATTACCAAGTACTAAGCCTAAATAAGGCAGCAGCCACGCCTTGTATACCTCGTCGTCGTAACCTTCACCAAGGTCTATACCGGAAGTTGACCATAGTGGCGCGGTAACTTATTTGAAATTGTGGGGCTTGTGCTGGACAGAGGTTTTAAAAATAGTGGGGCTGGTTTTTTTTTTACTGATGCTTGAGATAACTTCTTCCAGGGTCTGACGGTTTCTTGGGAAAAAAATACTGGATGTGGGGATTGGATAGTGGACTTCAAACTGTTTGTTGTGACTTCTTTGGGAACTGGTCAGCTTGGGTTTTTATGTACAAATTAGCGTCAATATCATTCTCCCGATTGAGTATGTTGTGAAGGGTTGTGAGTCTGTTATCTGGCGTCTGTAGTCTCGAGGGAATCCCATTTGAGGTTGGTAAACATCTTGGATACACTGGATGCAGGTTGAAAATCACAGCTCACGAACCTGGCAACTCGTCTCTGCACCCGCTGAAGGATGTCTCTGTTTTTGGTACCTGGGTTCCATGCAGCAGAGGCGTATTCAAGATGTGGTTTAACAATTGCCTGGTATAAGGTTTCCTGAACTGTTTTGGAACATTGGCCTAAGATTCTTTGGATGAAGTTTAGCATTTTGGTGGCTTTGGTTGAGGCATGTTGTGTCTGATACTTGTTCCACTTTAGATCATTCTGTATTATAACACCAAGGTACCTCTCATGAGTAACTTGCTCAAGGGTTTATCCAAGCATTTTGTAGTTTGCTGTGCCTGGTTGACGCTTCCTTGAAATTCGCATTACCTTACACTTTGAGGTATTAATTTAGACCATTTTACGATACTATCAAGATCAGATTGTTGGGGTATTTCATCTACAAGTGAACTTAAGATGCAGTCATCTGCAAATAGTCTCGTAGTTGATTTGACAGTTTGTGCGATGTCATAAAAGAAGATAAGAGAATAAAAAAGATGCGGGCCTCGCACGATGCTCTGGGGTACACCACTCAACACAGGTTTCCATGGCGAAGCGTTACCGTTTATGACTCTTTTGCACACGATTTGTGAGAAATGACTCGATCAGCGGTTTGTTTCTAATACCATAATGATAGCTTCTGGGAGAAGGCAATGGTGTGGTACGACATCAAATGCCTCACTGAATTCGATTTTTGCAGTATCTGTATTCACTTGATGGTCATGGTTTGTAGTCAAGTCGTGCACGGTGGTGATGAGCTGAGTGACAGATGACCTAGATCTTCCAAAGGCATGCCGTCTGAGAGTATACCATGGGCTGAAAGAAACTTCATAATCTGGCTGTCAATAGTGCGGTGCTCCATCAATTTACAACAGAGGCAGGTTCTAATCGGCTGGTAACTTACTTGGTCAGATTTGGACCCTTTTTTAAAGGTAGGCGAGAAATTCGCTCTTCTCAAGTCATCTGAACTAAACTCTGGTAAAAGATGAACTGTAACGCAGGGGCCTGCTCTGCTGAAACAATCTACATGTATCTGGTCCAATATAGCTTTGCCTTTGCACTTTTTCCACTCCATCGGTAGTGATTTCTATGTCAGGTAGGTCAGGAGGAGGACTGGGTGGAAGCATAGGTAAAGTTGGGTCTTCTTTGGAGGAGACACTTTGGAATTAGTCGGCCAATTTCTCAGCTATTAACTGGTCACCAACAGTGGTTCGGCCTCCGGGATCTGATGTAGCTCCAGAACTTTTTCGTATCGTCGG